AAGAATCACATGAAATGAGTTCTACAACTCAAGATATGGTCCAGAAACTAAAATAGTATCAGAATTTGCCAAATACTAGAAAAATTAAATAAAGCCCAAATAAAATTCAAACATCATAAAATGATTCAATTCAAACCAATTAGGCACAAAAGAGGATTAATGAGCTAGGAATGAGAGGAAATAAGGTTATCAAAATTCAATTGATCACGCACCTGCGCATTAACACTCTGGCCACTGAAAGTGAACATGCGTAAGGCAAAAGTTCTAAAATCACATGCACGTGGACACTGGTTACCGAAAGTGTCCACGCAAGAATTTTGAAAATCACTTTTAAAGCATCAACTTTTGACGATTTGAATTTCCACCTCAGCTATAGAAGCTTCTAGAAGACTTTTCATGTTATAATTCTCAGAGATTAAATTGAAGAAGTGAAAAAAGGCAGAAAAAAAATATAAATAGAAGTTAAGAGTTTAGGTTAAGAGACTTTTGTTCATTTTTGTTATTTTTCACATTGTAACTGTTTTAACTTTCAAGGGAAGTCTGAGAGAGGGATTGGGAGCAACTTTCAAGCTTCATTGGTAGAGGAATTAAGGTGAAAATTGGGTCTTGAAAGATGTTCTTCTGCTTCTTACCTTCTTCTTCTCTTACTTTCCTTTCTTCCATTGTAGTGTTATTCTAAACTTTTTTGGTTAGGGATCTATGGATCCAAATTTGATATTGTGATGTAATTTTGGATTTGGATCTTTAAATTTTAATTGAATTAAGTATGTGATTATATTCTTAATGCAGTTGTAAACTAATCCATCATTCAATTGAACATAGAGGAATCTTCATCAAAGAAAATTGAGTCTATTTGTTAGATCAGAATCATATGCCTAGGTTGAAATATTGGACACTTTCATATATACTATTCACAATTCATTTCCATTATTATACTTTGTGCTGAATCCATTATGCGTCTTTGTTTAGAGAATGCCCTCAGTCCCATCAGGAGGAGCATGAATTTGATCTCTGAGTGTGAATCCATCATTTATGAAAAGGGGGTGATTTCTTTATGTAACACCTTAAGTTTAATTTTCAATAAATAAAGAATTTTGTAAATTTCTGAAATAATAAAACTTCCATTTTTAATCAAACATTTCAAATAAAGAAAAGGGTTACAAATTTCATCAAATAGTTGCTACAGGAATTATTCAAATACAACAGTTTTCAAAATAATATCCTGAGTCCGGTGCTGATCGTCTTGATTACTTGAAAAATGAATGTAAGAGTGAATACTCTACACTACCAAAACACAATAAAACATAGAGCCTCACCTCTAATTCATTTTCAATACATTTATATAGATATAACACAAACAACATCATTATCCAGCACATTTCAATTGAACATCAATGCACTCACGGCAACAACAACACTTCACATTCAAAATTACAATTAATAACAATCCCGTGCACACGCAAGCTAGCCACACTCACTGTGGCACTGTGATCACTTATTTATACCATGAATGGTCGCTGGTTACCCCTGCCTCACGAATACCACGTGGACAATCACGGGTTGCTTAACAAAGGTAGTGGTCAGAGGTCTAGTCAGGAAGAGAGTGTGTGGCCCGTGGTGCACTAGTTCCACAGTCGGTATCACTACCACTCCCTCTTCCCTAAGGTATTTCTACCGTCCTCATCTTCCACACCCCTAGTGTATCGCTGAACCATTCACAGCATATTACAACGGCGCTACACGCCCCATTCACATACATTTCATTCACACACGCAATATTCATGCTTACACACGGTACACAACCCACATTTGCATTCAAATACACGGTTAGGCTCACATTTATTTCACATCACACGACACGTAGCCAATACTCATTTATATTACATGGCCCTCGGGCCCACATTTGTTCACAATATCATTAATTCACTAATCAATGGCATTCCATCACACACAATCACCCCCACGGGGCCTAACTATTCCAGCACACATCACATTGCACACCAATTTCCATTCAACACACAATTTCTACTCCCTATCTTAGCCACATTGCATTAATCAACAAAACACACAAGAATTATAACACATTGAGATAGGGTAGAGTCCTCCCTTACCTTGGATTGAAGACCCACACTCGGATTCAACCACGAATGTACTCCCTACACAGATTTTGGCCCAAAACACATGGAAGAACTCCATGAGAATCCAAGGGAACCCAGAAACAGAGAAAAAGGGATGAGAAACGGAACCCTAACCATTAAAACTCATCTTCAAGCATTCTCAACGCGGATTCAACCCTCAATCAGGCTCACGAACGACTTTGGAGGCAATTTAATCGATGAAAAAGGGTTTGGGAATGAGAGGATCAAAGGGATTTCGAAGGGAGAGGGAGAAATAACTCTCCCCGAACTCTAACCCCTTTAAATCCTTTTTTGGTTGCGATATTCTCACTACAGTGAGATATTCACGCTGCAGTGACACGCCCTTACGCTGCAGCGAAAATCTCAGACGAAACTGCACCCTGGTTTCTGCAGAATCTCACTACAGCGAGATCTTCTCGCTACAGCGAGATTGCACCTAAAAATGCACCCCAAACTGTCGCTTTGTTACTACAGTAAGACGTCTTTTGGTCCTTCCTCCTAGGGCCCTCTCGCTACAGCGAGAATCCTCTCGCTGCAGTAAGGACAACCCAGAATTACACCCTGCACTTAGGCACTTAGCCCATTTTCAGCCCAACCAATCATGCATACACATATATGATAACGCGCAATGCCTCAAAGTGGTTACTCTCGCTCCATAGTATTTATGCGCAGGTCCTGTGTTTTTGGCCTCTCTGGAGTTGTCACTTTGGTATTAGAGTGATAACTTTGGCTGCTCCAGAGTGTCTACTATGGTTCCATAGTAGCTACGCACAAGCCTTGTACTTTTTGGCCTTTCTGGAGTTGTCACTATGGGTTCATAGTGATCACTCTGGTCTACCTTTCTAGAACTAGCTTGCTTTAGTGTTCACTATGGACTCCAAAGTGATCACTTTCACCTCAAACTTTCTCAAATGCTAAAAATCCATGGAATAAGTCTAGAAACTCCTGCACAATTATTCAAATAATCAAAATTGCAAACTATATCTATTCAAATCAATGTAATTTAACCAAAAATTAAGAAACCTATGATAAATTGACCAAAATGATGTTTTTATGTTATTTACAATTCCTAAGTTTACTTTTTCTATTAAGAACCATCAAAATGACAAGTAAAAATCTAATAAAATATGGATTCATCACTGTACTTGTAGAAGATGAACCTAGGATTTTTGTTATGATGGAGATGGATTACTCTTATAGTATCCCATTTGATTTTCCTAGAAGTAGAATACACTAGACTTTATGTGTATATATATATATATATATATATATATATATATATAGAGGTATTGTTACGAGTTCAGCAGCCCTCACATATCTATTTACCTACCACGATCATGACTCTCTTGGAAGACCGTCCAGATGGACCTTTGAGCGCTTCACTGGCATAGAGGTTAGAGCTGATTCGGACGATCACTACCTGGAATCAGATGAGGATATGGATTCGGAAGACTTAGCTGAGATAGAGAGTTGGGATGCTGAAGATGAGTAGGACCGATCTTTGGTAGTTGGTTTTGGGGACATTGCTCTAGGATTCATACATGTCTATGGATTGTAAATATTATGATTATGTATATGTGTTAAGTCCCATTTATTTTGACAACAGTTTGTAAAGTTTAATGCTAATGTATGTAATTTATATTCAAATTTCACAAAATGAAGAATACTTAGTGTAATCGTGATGTTTATTTATTCTTCATATTATTTGTCATTATCGTTATATTAGTATTGCAAGTTTTAAAATTTTCATTTCCACATGAAGATTTAAAGAAAGTTTTATTAATTTGCTATAATTAGTTCATTAAATTCCTCAAAATGATGTTTTATTATAATTTATTAAGAAAAAGTTATGCATTGTACGAATTTTGAGATAAAGATGTTACAAAGTTTATGTATATAGGGCTTTATTATGACTAATTACTGAAATTTTTGTTGCAATATAATAATTTGTACAAATATTTCCATTCAAATTTGTATAAATGGTACAACAAAATTTTAGATGATGTATTAAACATAATCAAAATACAAATTTAAGAGACTGTACATGCATTTCATAAAGTTAATATAATAATTTACGAAAGATTTATGAAAATAATTGAGATTCAAAATACAAAATTTAAGAAATTGTACATGCATTTAGATTTTTGTTTGTTGTATTAAACTTATTTAGTTATATTGTGTTTATTGATTTAATGTGTAAGGCTCTATGCTACTAGATATGTTTAATGATTTATAAATTAATGTTTATTCTATTGTATTTTTTTTAAGTGTAGTGATTTACTTATTTAAATTAAATATGTGGTTTAAAAGTAATAAATAGAAATATATAATTTTATTATACATATTCAATGTGTTAAATTATTTTTTAATAATTTATTTATATATAAATTGTATGACTTTTAAAAAGACACACCTATTAAGGTGATTTAATAGTTTATTTATAAAAAAATTTAATGATCTATTGAATATTTTAATACGAAGTAGGCCATTAAAAATATTAATATGTAAAATCAAACTTTTTTAAAAGTTAAGCTAGTAAAAAACTTATAACAAATAATAAATTAGACTTAAGTTTCAAAATCATTAAACATGATAAAAACAATTTTATCTATATAAATTCTAGTCTAATTTAGTTTATTTTCGTATTAGATTTATATTTATAATATAAAAATAAAGGTATATAATAAACTACTAAGTTTTATTTTTTTAGTTTATTAAATTGAATGAATTATAATCTAGATATGAGTTTTTTATTTATATTTATTTTGTAAAGTATTATTCACTTTAACGGATTCAATCATTATCTTTTGAGATAAACCAGAAAATCCGAAATCAACAAGAATCTCGACTGAATCAATATCTCGTTCGGTTTTTAAATTTTAAAAGCATGTTAAGTGGATGAAATGAAATAAAAGAGAGAATTGAAAAAAGAGAGGGAGAAGACGTACAGAAGGTACTCGCAACCTTAAACAACCCGAAGAATTTTGTCACATTGGTTCTACACACACCGGTGCGTTCCCTACTTCTGATTCTATCATCATGCCTAGGGTTTCATCGACCCCTTCTCCCTCGCCCTCAGCTTCTATGGCTTCCACCATCAGAGCCTACGCGCTCCCTATTATTCTCTTCGCAGGAGCCATGTTCTACCAGCTTTTTCTCATTCCCAATGCTTTCCCTCCTTCCCATTATGACGGTAATTCCTTTCTTCTTTATGCTTCTCTTATTTAATTATTTATTATTTATTGTAAAAATGATTTTTCTTTTGGTGATTCCAGTTCTGCAAATTGAGAGGTATAGTTCGGTGGATAAAGTGAAGGAGGCTTACGACAAGCTTGAGTGTAAATGGTAACTCTTTGGATCTTATCACTTAATGATTTTACTGTCGTTTTGCATTTGATAGTGTTGGCTCATGGCTGTGAAAATTACTCTAAATTTAATGGCATTTTTGGTTTAACCTTTTCTTTCAAAAAGCTAAAATGAATGTGATTGTTTCCTTGAAGTAAGCTAATCTAAACATGCACTTAATCTTTTGTCATGTGAGTGGTTTGAATTACTGACTTTGTCATTCTCAACCTCTATTTGAAATCCTGATTAATGTGCAAGGATGGTGGATCACCAGGGAATAGTGTTACTGTATGTCTAATGCATAAAGGACATCCTTATTCACTGCCTGAACGATTTGGAACATTTAGTGCGTCTGGAGGAGAAACAATTGCTTATATTTACCAGTTCTGTGAAAGGACTTTTGAAAATAAGCGATTATGTTAGGTAACCCCTGTTAATAGTTTGTTTAAATAGATTACTTAGTTAACCCCCATTAGTAGTTATCCATTAGTTGGTTAGTTAGGTGAGTTAGTTTGAATAAGGCATGTTGCCTATAAATAAGAGGGGAGATTAAAGAGGGATGGCAGCTGATTTGTGAGAGGAAATTGGGCTTTTATGGCATTTGGGAGGTGCAGATCCTTCAAGTTCTGCAGTGTGAGTTTTGTAGTTGGGGTTCATCCCTAATTCTTTATAATAAGAACCTAGTTTCTATCAGATTACATCCCATAAAATAAGCTATTCCAAACAAGCTTTACTAGTCTTAAATCTTTGGTTTCTGTTTGGGCTGTTGTAGATGAGTAGTGGCTCTGCTACTTCTAATTGCTCACTCGACATAGCATGGGTACTGTAGCTCTGTTGTTTTATATTTTACTCTTTTTAAGCTTTTTCTTTGTTTATTTTTTTATTCAGTTCACCTTAGATGGGTGGGATTAGACTATTTTATTTGCGTGTTATAATTTTTTTTTAGTTAATACTATGTAAAGGAGGAGTTTAATGGCTATAACTGGTTAGTTAAGAACTTAAGATTCTTTTAGAAAATTAATTCAAATAAAGAACAGCAATTTTTGTTTATTATTTAGTTTGTTCAACATGTTGGCCTGTATTAGTTTGTTCTGAATGTGCTTAAACTTTTGTGTGGCATCCTCTGTGATATTTTTTTTATCACATGCTATTAATAATATTATGACAATAGTTGCATGCTCTTTCAGGAATTCGGCTGTGGAAGTTTCTGATATTCATGAGTTTTTAAAGGTTAGTTTTGAGAGTTCATTTTGAACTATCTTGTTTATCAATTAAATTATTGTACGATTCATAGAATCCTCATACGAAAAAGGTCTTTGATCCATAACTTATGTTTAGATTTTCACATTTTCTCTGGATAATACTTACTGAAATCTGGGAAGAGGAACAGCCATGGGGTAATGTGAAGTGAGGATCTATTAAATTTGGCTCAAACACTTTGATCTGTATCACTCCATTCATTTTCAATTTTGTCTGAATCTTGTTTTAGGTTTTTTATGTTGGTTCATGATTCAATTCATTTACTTAGGACCAGGTTGGTTTGCACAAATCTGTTAAATCAGAGATCAACGGCTGCAGCCTCGACATTGTGAAATGCACCTGCCTTTAAGAGTTGTTGCAAACCCTATATTAGAAGTGATGTGAGGAGAGGAGATCTTTGTGTATGTTTGAAGTGTTTCAAATGTACAGTTGAAGTAGGGTCTTTTCTAATGAAGCTAGCTTAGTGGGAATCAGTGTGCAGGCAAAACTAGTTTTTTATTTATTCATTCAATTTTGTTTAGTAAGATGAGATACAATAGCTTAGTTTTTCATAGTAACTTGTATTTGTTTGGTGATGACTTAATGTTAAAACATTATCCAGTTTTCCCCCTTCCATGCAGGTTGAACCCTGGCATGTGATGTTACTGAACTGAATTAATAAGCTGAAACTATTTTGGTTTAAAAACTGTTGAAATGACAGATATGGAGATAAATAGATGGATAAATAGAGAGATGATGGAATAGCTTGGGTGAAAGGACACTCAGTTATATACATATCTGCATACATATTATGGCCCAGTTTGGGTAATCTTATAGAGAAGTCCTTATAGGACTAAAAAATCAATACAAAAAATGAATAAAATTTCTCTCACAAGTTAAATGAGAGAGCTTCTAAAAAAATAGAGAAACTTAAGTTGTTTTTAGCTTATGAGAGAACTTTTACTTATTTTTTGTATTGATTTTTTTTTTTTTCCTGTAAGGACTTTTCAAGAAGTTTACCCAAACTAGGCCCATACATTACAGAATACAGATACACACACTGATACAATTTTATAAGGCTAAATGGGGTGACTAAATGCTATTTCCTTGGCATTAATTTCTATGAAAACTCACTACAGTTAACATGTGATACATGAACTGCCTATGGTTGTTCTAACAAAAATCAAGCTGGTTTAACCCTGTCATGCAACATAACTCCTATGAAATAGATATGCTAAAACTGTGTTGGATATTATAACTCAAAGTCTTAAACATGTTAATTATTAAGGGGTAGAATTGCATTAATGGAATGGACTCTAGTATTTTTATGTATAATTGGCTTTTCTTTTTCCTACCTTTTGCCCAGGAACTATAATGTGGTTTGATGGATTAAATTATTTGATGGCTGTCCGTTATGACCCTATTACTGTGCATTTGCTTATGTAATTTGCTTTGAGAATGTGATTTACAGATTCGATATGCCTATGAGTTGCTGACAAATCCACTATGGAAAAGAGACTATGACATCTTTGGCATTGATGAACAGCTTGTGAGTACTTTCTTTTGCATACTTAAAAAGTCACGTCTTTTATGTAGATCTGTTCAATGAGTGTTTATCTCATCCCTGATTACTGTTGTCTCAAATGCTTTAATTAAATGATATGATTTTATGATGGTAGCATATTGTTGAAAGTGCCAGAAAGCATTATGCGGGGAAACGTATTTCAGAATTGGACTTCCCTTTGCTACGTGCCCCTTCTGGTTAGTCAAGACATTCATCATTATTGATAGGAGTTTTTTGTTGAAGTTTTCATAGGGTTTTTGACATGGAAATTCTTTCATTGATGCATGCATCATTTCCTACCTCTCAGGATCTATAGATCATTCTTCTAAAGTCATTACTGCTAGTGACTTCCGGTCTATATTTCCGGATACAAAGCCATGGCTAATTCAGGTATAAAATATAGAATATATGCTGATATATTCCTACAAATGTGATTGTAGTCTTTTTTTTTTTTAAAATAAATTATTGTTGTTATTTTTAAGTCACTTTTTTGTCTGAACTTCCTATACTTTACCACTTATAACCTCTGTAACTACTGCATGAAAGTAAAATTCTTTTCATTCAAATTATATTTAAGTGATATTTGTACTTTTCATATTTCTTGGTGCCTTAAGTATTGTTTTCTATTAGGTCACTTGAGGCCCATATCCTTGAATTATATTTGTTTATAGGTAGAGATTTGAATAGTAATTCTTGTTTAATAAGTTTCTTCTTTTGGGAATAGAAAAAAAAGAAGATAAATTTTCAACATAAGAAGGATAATACTTTCGTAATTACAAATAAGCTAAGAATATGTTTAGATATACAACTTACTTGAGCACTTATTCAATAAAGTCTTTTTAAATGATTATATATGCCATAAATTTAACTATAAAACTTATTAAGATAAGTTGAAAACATTTTATTTTGATAAGTTATACCGAGAAGCTAATTGAAATAAACTAAAGAGCTTATGAAAGTCATAAGCTATTTTCATATGTCCATAAGCTTGTCCAAATAGGCCTAAATGTCAAGTGTTGTTTCCAGAATACTGCTTTTGATCATTTTTGAAACACTGGGAATTGAGGTGGGATGTATTCTCACTGGTTCTGTTTATAAAGTTCTTTCAACTAAATTTCACAGATTAAGAAAAATTGTTAAAATCAGTTAATTTATTGATTTTAAAAACTTAATTACAACATTTGAAGTTTAACCCTGTTTAAGTCAAACTCTATTATCTTATTAATTACAGAGAAGGTAGAAGGGTTGAACATTCATGAAGGGAAAATGTTAGAAAAATTAATATATGCTTCTAAAACTTTGTAAAGGATCTTATATTAAGGACCATCAAACGTTTTTAGAAGGGGCCTTGTAAGTAAAACCGTAGGGAGTAATAATTTGTTCGACATGAAGATGGTTTATTTTTAGGATATTGGAGTTATGTTGGCATTTTGCTTATCATTCTAACAACTTGGGTTGGTAATTTTTTTTTGTAAATTAAAAATTTTCAAGTGAGACAGAATGCAGTCTGACCTTAATTCTAGCTCAGAGGCACTGTGTGATTTATTGTAATTACCAGAAAGGAAAGAGAATAATTTTGTATACTAGAAAGAAAAAAGGGAATAATTATTTATCTTATTATTTTATTTGAGATACAGCTCAATGAATTTTAAGCAGAATTGGTTCCTAAAAAAGGAAACCTGTCTGCTATAAAATTAAGAGGTAAATCTAAATATAAAATCTCTTATAGTCCGATCAAAATCAGATTTTATAATAATCTGATTTTTGATATAGAATTATTACAAAAATATATCAGCCCAAATACTAGGAATCATTGTAGTCAATAACAGTCATTGTTGCCGCTATTGCTTGGTGTGGAGTGGAGCAGCTGGGTGCCACTATTTCATTGCTGTTGCGTCGCATTTCAGTGTAGGTGTAGCAGCTGTCACGCCGCGAATTGTGGCAAAAATCAGAGCAAATCCCGGCCCTATTGGCATCTATTTCGTCCTAGGGCAAAAGGACAATTTTGCCCTCCCTTTGCTGAAAGTTGGAATGCTTTTTAAGGGAGGCAATCTTGGGATTCGCCCCCTTTTATATGTCAAACAGGGGCAAAAGGGTTAGTTTGCCCTCCTTTTTGAAAAGTTGGAATGCTTTTTAAGGGGGGTAATCTTGAGATTTCTCCCCCTTTATATTTTTGAAAGTTGGAACACTTCTCCGTCTCAAACCCCTACCTCCATCTCTGTTCTCTCATATTCTTGCTTTGTCCTCCATCTCCATCGTCACTTTCTAGTGCAAATCACCATTCCTGGCCAAGTTCCAGTTGTCGTCTTCATCTCTGGTGAAACCAAACTTATTTCTAATGCAAGCAGAGACATTTTCCAGGTGTCTTCTTCATCTCCAGTGTAACCCAAGCAATTTTTGACGAGATGTAGACTTTTTACGATGATAATGAGACATTTTTCGGTGAGACCATTTGTGTTAGAGCTTTTACAGGTGACAGGTGATTGAGCACTCTTTGATCTATTTTCTTTCTCTGTTTTGATTGTCTTCAGAATAGCAGTCATCTTGTTATCCACTTTAGCATTTTTTGGGTCGGCTGCTCTGTGCTGGTATCTGGGATTGACTACTATACTAGGAATAACTCATGACATCCCCCCTCAAGTTGGTGCATAGATGTTTATCATGCCTAACTTGCTTACAAGTAGTTCAAAGTTGGTCCTAGCAAAACCCTTGATGAGAATATCAGCCACTTGAGAGGTAGGAAGGAACCAATGACATACAAATAGTCCCATTGTTAAGCTTTTCTTTAATAAAATGCCTATCACTCTCCACATGCTTTTTTAAGTTCACCAAACAAGAATATAAAAAATAATGGTTAAGAGCAGGAGAAATCAGAAATGGTGTAACGTAAGTGTATATGAAATGTATGATATATGAAAGAAGTTATAAAAGTAGCACTCTCTCTCAGTTCACAGACCAAGAACCTCCCTCTCTAGGCACAAACAGCCTCCCTAATCATTTTCTTCCATAAGAACCTTCTCTCTTATCCTTTCCTATATAACTGACTCCCCTTACACGTGTGCTCCCTTTCCCTTTTTGGTGTACACACGCCAGATTTTGGGCCTTTCTACTTGACTCACTAATGGGCCCATATCAGTCACCCTAACATGCTTAGTTCTGTCATGTACTGGATTTTGTGCTACACTTATTGCAGCTTTGTTGTCATAGTACAGTTTCATAGGTAGACTAGTAAATTCCTAATTCTTCAAGTACTCCTTTAAGCCATATTATCTTGCAAATTCCTTGAGCCATTGCTCTATATTTCGCTTCAGCACTACTCCTAGCAACCACACTTCGTTTTGTACTTCGTCATGTAACAAGATTTCCCCATACAAAGGTACACCAGCCTGAGGTATATTTTTTGTCTACAACAGAACTTGTCCAATCTGCATTAGTGTAGGTGATAGGAATTGTACCCCGCCCTCTAGGTGGGGAAAGGTCTACCAGAGGAAATCAAAGACTATTGGGCCTTAATGTGTTAGGGGGCAAAAGGGGAAATTTGTAGTAAGTTAGTTAGAGCTAAATCTGTTATATGGAAAGTGGCTGTAGGGGGTGAGTATCGGTGGATTTAAATTGTAATTTGGGGCAGAGAGAGATTCTCTCTTGATGGGGGAGCATTGCTCTAAGGAATTCTTGACACTTTTCCCTCTTCTTATTTCTTTTCCTTTTTGTGTTCTGTAAGCATCTTTGATACAGTCAGTATAAGTAGGCTTCCACTGACTTCAGATCTATTTTTCTATAAATTAATACCTTACTTAGAGTCTATGAAGCCTGGATACTTGATACGACACAGATACGATACGGATACGGGGATATGGAAAAAATTTAAATTTCAAGATACGATACGGTTTAGATACTTTAACATAAATTTTAAAAAATAATATTTATAAAGAGATATTGATAATTAATTTATATTAATGTGTTACATTTTCTAAGCATGCTATATATAGGATCTGTGTAAGAAAGAATATAGTCTAATTTATTCCACCATATATCATTTAAAACAAGTTCTTTCATATGGGCAGCTTTACCAACATCATCTTCTCTATAACTATTCCATTGGTCACTAATGACCATATTTTGCAAAGCACGTTTCAGCATCAAAACTCATTTTTTGTCAACAAACACAGCTGTTGAAAAATACAAGAATAACATTTTTACTTTGTTGCTGTAAAATGAATAGAAAAAAGGAGATCAGAAAAGATAAAGTTTGTGAGATTTTACCGCAACTGCAATAGAGTAACGTTTAAGACTGTTGCTGTAAAATACGGAGAAGAATAACTAAAACGTTGCTGAAGTCCAAAGAAGAGGAACAAAGTTCAAAACAGAAATCACGTCATCCATTATCACGAATTGGAGAATCAACACCTCAGGAACTTGCTCAACCAGAATCGATGCCTTAGGAATTTGCTGGACCAGAATTGACCTCGCAAAAAAACTCCAAATCATCTTGCTTCCGCAATAGTTCTCGTTTCCCCAAGAGAATCGCAGCTCGAAGAAGCCCTAGCTGGGTTTTGATTTTGGGTGAGGTTCTGGGGCATTCCTTTCTCGCAAAGAATGAGAGAAATGGGGAAATGGGAGAAGAGAATCGCAATTTGAAGAAGCCCTAGCTAGGTTTTGATTTTGGGTGAGGTTCTGGGGCACTCCTATCTCACGAAGAATGAGAGATATCGGGAATGGGAGAAGAAAGAATGAAAGAAATGAAGAAATGGGAGAAAAAAGATTGAAACGCTCCGTTTCAATAATAAACGTATTGGAGCTGTTAGCCGAGCCGTATCAGATGATTTAAAGCCGTATCCCAGCCGTATCTCATCTGAAATTAATTTTTAATAATAAATTAAATTACGGATACTTTTGGGATACGTATCTAGACGTATTGAACACGTATCGGTATCGGATATGTGTCCGACATGGATACTTTCAGTATTTTCACATATCCAGGCTTCATAGCTTAGAGTGCTCTTCAAGTATGTATTCTATATACTGCCTCCACATGCTCTTCATAAGGAGAGTGCATAAATTGACTTACAAGGCTTACAACAAAAGCATTATCACGTCTTGTGTGAGATAAATAAATTAATTTCCCTACCAGCCTTTGGTAGTGAGCAGTATCCACATGATTTCCTTCTTTGCCATCTCCAAGTTTGAGGTTAGAATCAATGGGTGTCTCTACTGCTCTACACCCACTTATGCAGGTATCATTTAAGAGATTAAGAATATAATTTTTTTGATAAATGACAATTCCTTTTCTTGACCTAGCTACCTGCATTCCAAGGAAATATCTTAAAGACCTCAAATCTTTTATTTTAAACTCAACAGCTAGAGGTTTCTTCAACCTATTCATTTCATGCATGTCATCTCCAGTGAGGGTGATGTCATCAACACAGACAATAAGAATTGAGATTTTCTTTTCAGATGAGCACCTCGCATAGTGTGGTCTGTTTGGCCTTGAGAATATCTCTGATTTTTTACAAATCGTGTAAATCTCTCAAACCAGCCCCTTGGTGACTGTTTTAGTCCATATAGGGCTTTCTTTAACTGGCACACCTTTGAATGGTATTCTTGTTCAAAACTTGGTGGCGCCTCCATGTAAACTTCCTCTTCTAAATCTCCATTGAGGAAAACATTCTTTACATCCAGCTGCAGCAATGGCTAATTAAGATTTACAGCAATAGATAGAAGCACTCTCGCTGCATTTAGTTTGCAATTGGAGCAAAGGTCTAAGAGTAATCGATACCATAGGTTTTGGTGTAATCTTTGGCAACAAGACAAACTTTATATTGTTCAAGAGATCTATCTGAATAATATTTGATGGTAAACACCCATTTGCATCCATGCCTTTCTGCACCTTTTACTATATTGCTTAATAGAAAATGGGAAAGCTAGGTGAAATTTCCACCTTGCATTTTATTTATTTACAATGTTGGAACTTTATTTAACCAAAGGAAATGTTGCAGTATTTGTGAGACTGTAACTATATGATGGTAAATGATTTGTTCTCCATCACGTGTGAGTATTCAATTTGGAAACTATGAATAATGTTTTATCACATTTGTATATTTGGAAGATAATCATTAGTTTTCATGTGAAGAGTCTGCACCACCATTCTTGTCTAATTCCATAATCTTTAAATATTTTATTTAAAAAATTTAACTTGGTATACATTCTAAATGTATTTGTATCAGTTGTATTCATCGGGGAGTGAACGTTGTGCTCAATTTTCCAAGTCCTGGAATAAGATTGGTATGTTATTTGAACATGAACTCTGCCATGAAATATTTTTTTTATGCACTTGATATGTTGCTGTGGAATATGGAGATAATGTTCAGTTTCTACTTAATAACATTTAATTTTCTTGATTTTGGTCTGTAAATTTTTAAGTGGTAGTGGTTGAAAAGGAGAGAAATCCCCTTCTCACAAAGTAGGTGAAAGGTAATATAAGAAATAAGCATGCTTGTTTTATAAGGGGGTAAAGTTTGTAATTTCTGGTGTATACAGTGCTTCTTCCACTCCCACCTTCTCTCTGTCTCTCTCTTGGAAGTTTTCTTTGGACAAAATGAAAGGCTGGGTGTTAGTCTTTTTCTCTCTCTCCCTCTGGGCAATATACGCTTTCTTTTCATAAACAGAATTGAATTTATGATGCTCTTCTTTATTTTTTTACATAGACTCTATCTAATTGATATTCAAGCACTTTGTTATGTACCACCAATTTAACGATAAGAATATTGTGATTATTTGCTTTGCCTTTAGCTTCTTTATTGGATGTTGTTGCAAACACTGGTACGGTGGAACTTGGTGAAAAGGAGCTTGCCGCATACCTTGCTGATAGAAGATCAACAGGAAAACCATTTCTTAGAAATGGTATGTGCTGGATACAGTTGAATTTTTTGTTTCTACCATTTGTTTCTGTTCATCTTACAGGATCTCTGTCAGAACAACTATTGCCCAGGTTTAAATAATTTTGTTTGACCCTCCTGTTATATATGAAGGCCAAATATAAGCAGGATTCTTTACAGAACTTACAGTTATAATTTGTAAATTCATTGTAATGATTGCATTTATTTTACCTAAATCAGACTTGTTGCAGATGTGCTGTTAATTTTGAGTGTGTCTACATACTTTATGGTAGTGGCTCCCAACAATTTCCTTATAGCAAAAATCTCAACTGCTTTCATCTAAATATACCATTGATAAAACAGATTTGCTATTGTTGATTTTCTTCTATGTTGATTAAAGATAAAAATACAAGATGATGTTGGCATTATAACCAACATAAAAGAATAGTTTAATGTTTTGACAAAAAGGGGAGACTGACCCAGAATTTCTGTGTGATGTGGGAAAAACACACAATTACATAATTGAATTTGCAGAGTACAATCAATTCACTACATTACAGCTCAATCACACCAAACTTCAACATGCTAAGCACAGTTAATTCAGTAAATGATACATAGATATATTGGCAGTTTGGCACTATGAAGACAATCAAGTGATAGTGAAAACACAGGATAAAAAGGTAAATCAGAGGCCTCAAAACTGAGTGGCTACTGGCTATCTATTCACCTATAAAAGCAATTCTCAAAAATTGAATAACCTATGATTTCTTCAACCAACAAGATGGAAGATGTTGTCACACTGCTGCAAGTCCAGAAAGCCTTTATTTTATCTGTTGTAAAGCAGAGCACATACACTAAATTTGGAATGATGATGCTTATCAGGCAGTCATAGAAGTACTCAATGTGCACCTACCAAGAGCAGTTTCATTAAGAGTGAGAAGTAATCCCTGAACACTTTTCACGAACCAAGAGCCACTACCTATCTAGTACCTACTACATTGGTGATACCGTCCATCTCCCTGAAGCTGTCATCGAGGGTACTTGAAACTAAAACAGGAGTATGCTGAATAATTTTGTGTTGATTAGATTGACTTGATCAGTGCTCTTTGTTACACCAATATATAGATACAGGAGAAAACAGAAAATAAATAATATATCCCTAATCTAGGAGATGTGATACAGATATCCTATTTCCCATACAGCTAACTGACCTATATTATAGCTATCAAATACAAATAATTCCAATACAGAATTAATCGACATTAATCAATAAGGGTTTTAGCCACTGTAAATTGGGTGCTTTCTGTTTGTGGCTGAGATCTTTAAAAGAGGAATTGGAAATTATGAAGAGGTGAAAGCACCAATTTTGAATTGTTGAAAATATTTGAGTTTACCTAATCAACCTTCCATTTGGGTGAAAACTTGTTAGAATGTAGGGTGATGGGAAGTTAAATCATCATATATCTACAACAGTAGTCGAAATTATTTTAAATGAGTTGGGGCATATGCCCATACACCCGCCAACATTGGTCAAAAAGTAAGTATATATATGTGTGTGTGTGTGTGTGTGGTTGTGTGTGATTTTAGCGTTGTTATTGGAAATGCATTATCTGAAAAGGTGTGAAGTTTTATAGATTGTCTGTAATTATTCTAGTTTGCTTGCAAATACATGTTTTGTGTGTTAATGGTAGATGTCTATTTTACATTTTGGGAGATAAGCAACATGTGTGTCTTGTCTTGACCTATTGAAAAAATTGATTCAGGAATTCCATCTTTTGTTGCTATTCCTCCTGGATGTCGAGCTGCTAAATGTTTTAGTCGGTGAGTTTTATTATAACCATGGTTTGATTTGAGGACGGACAATCAAATTTCTGTAAATCCTTTTTACTTAATTTACTAAGAGTTATTCACATTTAACTTAGATAGTTATGCGCTATTATATAGTGTGCTTAGTATAGTAGCATAAGTCTTGTTCTACTGCATGGAATTACTATACATTATTTACCTCCATGTTAGGTTTGATGGCGAGCTTACTGTTGACAAGGTTACAAATTGGTTTGTAACAACTATATTGGATTTACCTCAAATTAACTACTACTCAAAGGAATTGCTGGTAATTTGTCGATACTCTAGAGGATCGTGCTCTTTTCTGTAGACATGCATGATAGTGTTTCTTTCTTTTTTTTGTTTTCTGTAGCCTTTGTGTAAAGTTAGGAAATTCCTTGAATAATGAATGTTGAGAAAGAAAAACAAGTAACATAGGATGAATCTGTGTATTTTGACTACACAACTATTAGAGTATACAACTCGGTTGTATTAATTTAGTTAGTTTTTGTATTTTAGTTGTATTAGTTTTGTATCATTTTTTATATTTTTATTACAGTTACAGAATTTGTTAGCACTCAACTCCAATTATATATATTTGTGTAACTGATCTAAGCTAACTCAAGCATATATTGAAAAACTCCTAACGATTTCTTTTCTTCTCTCTCTCTCCTCTCATTCTATTCTCCCTTCCTTACATTCTTTTATGGTATCAAGAGCTTAGTTTCGATCCATCTGTTTTCTCATGACTTTTGCAACTAATGATGACATTAATGGCACTTGCCCACCGCCTCCCCCGCCACCAACACCAAAACTTGTGTTGCCTTGCTTGCTCCAACAACATTTTCTCATAGTCACTGCTAAGCTAAACTCACTGATTCGAATTACCTTCTTTGGCAATAGCAGGTTCAGCCAGTCCTCAAAGGCCATGGCTTACTCAGTTACATTCTTGCTCCACAAATTCCTCAGAAATTTGCTTCAGACCAAGATTGGGATCACAATACACTTTCACCTGAAGTGGTTCTGCCAAAGTATGAGATGGTTCTAGTGGAAGATAGTGAACAGGAATAGAAGCTAGAGGAGGGAAAGAAGTAGACTTAGAGAGTAAATTAGGAGCACTAGGTGTAAAGAAAGGGACAAGTTCAAGGAAATTGACATCAATCGAAACTAAATAGCAACAAATAATTGGAGAGTAACACTTATAACCTTTTTGAGGCTTAGTGTAATTGAGAAAAACACATTTGTGAGAGCGATGTGAGAATTTATCAAGTATGGGACTAAGGTTATGAACAAAGCAAGTTTACCCAAAGACTCATGGAGGTAAAAGGTTAAGGGACTGGTGAGGGTACAAGATAGAGTGATGGACTTGGTTTTGAAGAATAGAGGATGATATTCTATTAATAAGGTAGTACACAGTAAGAACATAACCCAAAAAAAAATAAGGAACCTAACTATGACACAACAGTGTACGAGCAGTTTTAATAAGGTGTCTATTTTTCCATTCAACAACTCTGTTTTGTTATGGAGTAGAAGCACAAAAGGTCTAAAGAAAGATACTGTGAGAAGCCATAAAATTTTGAAATTGATTAGATAAGTACTCATGAGCATTATCATTTTTGAAATGTACAAATTGGAACCCCAAATTGAGTTTTAATTTCAAAACATAAAGTTTTAAAAATAGAAAATAACTTAGACGATGTTCTTTTAAAAATAACCAAGTACATTTAGAATAATCATCACTAAAGGTAACAATATGACTCTGACCCCACCAAACAAGGCAAGAAATGCAAAAACCAAGAGACCTCCAACTTGGACCGAAGAATAAAGGACAAATCAGAGTATAGCATCTTGCAGCAACTCTAACAAAACAAGTAGTGGCCAAAATTAGTGTTGGATGTGCTGCCATGTCCCGGTGGTGGGGTAGTGAGGAGAGAGAAAACCAAAGAGGAAAGGGTGTGCATGAGGGCACGTGAGATCTCTGGTTGGCGCAAAACTTTGGGAATAGGCTGAACTGAGCAAGGCGAAGCAGATCCACGGGTGGTCTACAGATAAAAAAAAAATAAATGATGGAAAAGTCCCAGGAACAGTAAACATGGCGGTTCAGTGTCCAAACACTTGAAAACTGCAGGAAACTGAATATGAAAAACAGTTTTTGGGGAAAAAAATAAAATTTCACAAGCAAGTAGTGGGCTCATTGGGTAATCATGGATTAGGATTATCCTACGTTAGGCTCTAGATTCCATGGTGAGAAAGAAGAACAAGAAACATAAAATGTATATGTGTTTAGACTACACATTTGACCTGAACATATATTTATAATAGGGATTATTAACACAGAATATACAATTACGTAGTTACCATAGTTACAAAGATACTAATTTTTCTCTTTACAGTATTACCATAATTACATAATTTTAATAGTCTGCAATGATCAAGTTGAGTGATTTATACAGTATAATATTGGGTATGAACCAACTTGATTACATTTCATTGTCTTCCCTTGAGGTTTTTTCCCCAACCTTTACCATTTAATTTGGTCAGTTCCAGTATTCTTTTTTCTTGAATCCCCAATTGACAAGCTGTTTTATACTGTTAAGAGAGAAAATATTGAATCCGTGTGTTTAGGGCACAACGGAGTTATTCCAATTTATAGAGAAGAGTAAATAATTACAAAATATACAGTTACTATATTTACAAGATTCTAATAGATTCTAGCACTCCCCCTCAAGCTGGAGCATATAGGTCATATGCACCAAGCTTGTTACATATGTAGTTAATCCGAGGACCCCTTAATGACTTAGTAAAGATGTCTGCTAGTTGGTCATGAGAATTGACAAAACTAGTAGATATTTCTCCGGACATGACTTTCTCTCTGACAAAGTGACAATCAACTTCAATATGTTTTGTCCTCATGAAATATTGGATTTGAGGCAATATGCATAGCGGCTTGATTATCACATATAAGTGATATATGTGTGACCTCTCCGAACTTTAATTCTTGAAGCAACTGTTTGAGCCATATAAGCTCCTGACTCGCTATAGCCATAGCTCGATACTCCACTTCCGCACTCGACTGGGCTACAATATTCTGCTTCTTACTTTTCCAAGAGATAAGGTTATCTCCGACAAATATACAGAATCCAGAGGTGGACCTTCTATCTATGGGAGATCCTGCCCAATCTGCATCAGAATATCCCACAACTCGAGTGTGTCCTTAGTCTTCATACAAAAGACCCTTTCCTGGAGCTCCTTTGATGTATCGAACAATGCGAATCACTGCAACCCAATGTTCCTTATATGGAGAGTTGAGGAATTGACTTACTACACTCACTGCGAATGATATATCTGGACGGGTAACAGTGAGGTAGTTCAGCTTTCCTACTAATCGTCTGTACCTTTCAGGATCTAGAAGAGGCTCCCCCTGATTTGGCAAGAGCTTGACATTGGGATCCATGGGAGTGTCGACTGGCTTGGAAGTTAACATTGTTGTTTCTTCCAAAATATCCATTGCATACTTCCTTTGGGAAATGATGATCCCACTTTTGGACTGTGCTACTTCTATTCCCAAAAAATATTTGAGTTTGCCAAGATCCTTTGTCTGAAAATGTTTGAAGAGATGTTGCTTTACCTGTACAATGCCCAGATGGTCACTACTTGTGATGACAATGTCATCAACATAAACGACCAAATAGATGCAACCGGTAGGAGAGTGACGATAAAAGACAGAATGGTCAGCCTCACTCTGAGTCATGCCAAACTGTTGAATCACAGTAGTGAATATGCTGAACCATGCTCTGGGTGACTGCTTGAGGCCATATAAAGATTTTCGCAATCGACATACAAGACCAGAGGACTCCCCCTGAGCAACAAAGCAAGGCGGTTGCTCCATGTAGACTTCCTCTAGCAAATTACCATGTAAGAAAACATTTTTAATATCCAACTGATAGAGAGGCCAATGACGTATGGCAGCGATGGATAGGAATAGTCGCATAGAATGCAATTTGGCCACGGGAGAGAAGGTGTCGCCATAATCCAACCAGAAGATTTGAGTATAGCCTTTGGCGACGAGACGGGCCTTAAGCCGGTCAACCTTGCCATCTGGACCAACCTTGACTGTATATACCCACCGACAGCTAACAACTGACTTCCCTGGTAGTAGAGGAACGAGGTCCCAAGTCCCACTGTTCTGTAATGCACACATCTTGTCCAACATAGCTTGTTTCCACCCAGGATGGGAAAATGCATCACCTGCACTCTTAGGAATAGAAACAGAGGACAAGGAAGAAAGACAAGAATAATAGGAAGGAGAAAGACGATGATAACTTAAAGAAATATAATGAGGAGAAGGATTACAAGTAGAACGTATATGAGAATGTCAGATTCAGAGGGCGGGACCGGAAGATGAGGCGAAAGAGGTGGTTCCAAAGGTGAGTCCATGGTGTTGTCAGTGCTCGGTGGCTCCAAAACAAGACGAGTACGACGCTGATATACCTGCAAAGGTGGAGGAGATGGGTGTGGAGGGGATGGAGACACCTCTAGAGATTGAACTAGGGGCAGTTGTGGATGGGGAAGACTTGAGTGTAGATGTTCTAAGTTCAAAGAACGGAATGGACTCGAAAAAAGTAACATCAGCAGAAATGAAATACCTTCGAAGAGTAGGGGAATAACACTTGTATCCTTTTTGAGATCGTGGGTACCCGAGAAAAACACACTTATGAAACCGAGGAGAGAGCTTGTCAATGTCGGGACCAAGAGCATGAGCAAAACATGTCGAACCAAAGACACGAGGAGGTAAAGGATGAAGAGAGTGGTGGGGGTATAGAACTTGATGAGGGATTTTACTTTGTAAAACAGAGGAAGGCATGCAGTTAATGAAATAACATGCAGTAAGTACTGCATCACCCCAAAATTGATGAGGAACATGAGAGTGGAGAAGAAGAGTCCGGGTGGTCTCAAGTAGATGCCTATTTTTGCGTTCTGCAACTCCATTCTGTTGAGGGGTATGAGGACAAGATGTTTGATGTAACACACCATGCGATACCATAAAGGTCTAAAACTGAGTAGACAAATATTCACGGGCATTATCACTTTGTAAAGTTCGAATAGGAATACCAAATTGATTTTTTATTTCATTAAAAATAGACTGAAAAATTGAAAAAATTTTAGAACATTCTTTCATTAAGTATAACCAAGTACAACGGAAAAAATCATCTATAAAAATGACAAAATACCTAGATCCTAATGTAGAGGAAATACGACTTGGACTCCAAACATTTGAATGAACTAAAACAAAAGGGGACGAAGCCCGACTCATAATGAGACTAGAAAAAGAATGACGAACATGTTTGCCTAATTGATATGACTCACAAGACAAAGACTCTGACTTAGAAAGACTAGGGTATAGTTGCTTCAACTTATCAAGACCTGGATGTCCTAATCGAGCATGAATCAGAAGTGGAGACGCTACTGCTGAACCAACAAGAGAGGGCTTCTTGAGCTGATAGAGACCATGAGACTTACATCCGGAGCCAATCGTCCTTCCCGTAATCCGGTCTTGCAGGGAAACAGAATTTTTGGTAAAAGATATGACACAATCAAGAGACGTAGTAAGTTGACTAATGGATAATAAATTAAAGGGTGCCCCAGGGACATAAAGTACATTGTTAATAGAAAGAAAAGGAAGAGGATGGACAATACCAACACCTTGGGATTGAGTTTGAGACCCATTTGCCATGGTGACAGAAGGTAAATAACCAGAAGTAGAAAGAGAAGAAAAAAGGAATTTATTACCAGTGATGTGATCGGTGGTCCCAGAGTCAAGGACCCAAGGGCCTGAAGAGTGAGAGAGACCAACAAAGGAATTACCACTGTGTGCAACAGCAGCAATAGAACCGGAGGCCTGACGATCGTTATACCATTTCAAAAAATCATCATAGGAAGGTGATGGATGTGGATCTGGAGCCAATGTCGGAGCAGAAGTGGATGAAGGAGACACAGAACTCTGGGCCACCTGGGCAGTGCGAGGTCGACCATGTAGAGTCCAGCACTTATCAATTGTGTGTCCCGGGCAGTGGCAATGATCACACCAGGGACGTCCTTTGCTGCCCTTGCGCTGTGAAGGTCAGTTGGTGTTGCGAGAAACCAAAGCCGAAGAGTCAATAGGAATGGGAAGCAAAGGCTCAGAGGAGGATTTGGGGGGCACACGGAGGAGGGTTGCCCAAGTACTATCCATAGTAGCTTCTGTGAGGCTTCCTAGGATCTGATCACGAACATGAGAATATTCTCGGGGCAGACCGTATAAAGCCAAGGACATGAAAAACTTCTTGCAATTGTCAAGTTCTGCATCTGGAGTGGCAGCAGGAGGAAGCAATTTGTTGAACTCACAAAGAAGGCTTGATACGAAGCCAAGATAGGTCGACATAGAATCCTTAATTTGCTGGGCACTAAGGACAGTCATGAGGTCTTCACAAACTTGGTAGAGTCGCCGAGAATTGTTTGTAAAGAGTTGTTGGGCTTGTGTCCAAACAGCCTTGCAAGTTTTGTGAATGCAAAAGACATCACGAAGAGATGGGTGAATGGTGGCTCGGATGATATAGCACAGTTGAGCATCAACCTTTTTCCACAGAGGACGGTCGGCCTCTGGGACATCATCTGCTGTTTGGGTGAGATGTCTCTCATAACCCTATCCAACAAGCCAAAGTTCAATGTGAGAAGCCCAGGAGTAGTGCTTATCGTCCAATTGCTCAGAAGAAAGAGGAGCAGTGACATGGTTGGTAAAAATCTGGGTATCGGCTTTTGAAGTGCTAGAGGCAGCCATTGGTCAGTGAGAAGAGAGAGAAAATGTCCAAACAGCAGCGAAAAAGGGCAAAACAAGATAGAGTAAATGTCCAAACAGTAAACTGAGACCAAACACAGGTAGAGGAGAGAGGGGCGAGCAAACCCCAATCGACGGCGTTAGGAACGGACGCTGGACGCACCGTCACGCGCGGAGAGAGAAGGTGGCGCGTGAGAAAATCGCCTGAGGAGAAAGCGGCGCATGGGGGCGCGTGAGGGCTCCGATGAAGGCGCGGTCAGCGGGGTTCGGCCGATCTGACAAGGGCGATCACGACGGCGGGGTTTCCGTAGTGATCGGAGGTGGGACGGCGGTGGCGAAAGTGGCGGCGGTGGCGTCGGAAAAAAAAGGCACCGGTGAACAGTGGGTCCACCGGAAAAAAAATAAGGATTAGGGTTGCCTCTCTAGGCTCTAGATACCATGTTAAGAGAGAAAATATTGAATCCGTGTGTTTAGGGCACAACGGAGTTATTCCAATTTATAGAGAAGAGTAAATAATTACAAAATATATAGTTACTATATTTACAAGATTCTAATAGATTCTAACATGTACAAATTCCTTGCCAAAATTGCTTAGGTCTACAATTAAATATTGTTAGGGTTCAAAGATTAAGGAAGATGAATATGAAAGAATGATGATGAATCTTTATTATTGAATCAAAAAGACTTAAGGATGTTTACACACAATTTCCAAAGCTCCCAGCTCCTATCCAGAGATTGAATCTCCCTTTCTAGAATACAAGTTCCCTCCCTTGTTTCTGTTATCTCCTTCTCCATTTATACTTGCTAACTAACTAAACCTTCAACGGTTGGTCCCTTCTTCCTTGCATACACATGCTATATTTTGGGCTTAGTTCAGCAACTGTTCACTCTGGTTATTTTCTATATTTTCTGGTCTAACAAATATAGTCTACAACACTCATCTTGTGATCTAGGTGGCCCTTTATTCTTCAACATTCAGTACTATTCAGCAGTTAGTCTTGTGGCTGTGCAGTAAAATTTTCCTTTTAGCTTAAGAAGTACCTTTGTATCATAAAAAATATGGTTTTGTTAACCTTGGACCGTAGGACTGATTTTAAGCATCTAAAAATAGTAAACTTTTATTTAAAGATATAACATTTGTTACACGTTTGCATTCTCAATGTAATAAATGCTTTCTTTCCCAATAAAAGCTGGCCACTTTTAGTTTCTTAAAATGGGTCCTGATGGTTGAGGTTAATGTTTTCCTAAAAGGTAATACCTGAAGGTTGAAGCATTCTTCCATTTTATTTAACCAGCTTGAACCCTGTGATTTTGTCTTCCATTGTATTCCTATTTAACCTTTGTATCATCTCCCAATTATTTATCCATCACTTTGTGTGATTGACCCAAAATATCTAAACTATTCTGGTATGCTATAATCTTTAATTTTCAACTCCATGTTCATGTCTTGCTGAATTTGCATTCCTTGTACACTGTTTTACTTCTGCTGAAATAGGAACTGTGTGGTTCCAAAGCTTTTTCCCAAACTCCATAACTGTGTCTCAATTTGTCTGTCTTCGTCAATAACTATATCATCTGGAGAATTCATGTATTGAGACATTTGCTCTTGGATATGTTGAGTAATGACTTCCAAAACCAATATACAAATATAAGGGCTCACGGTTGACCTTTAGTGTAACTATAAATTATATTGAGTAAATACCCACTTTAGTTTTGGAGATTGTAAGCGCTAAGCATCTGTCACTTTAATTCTTGATTTCACAAAACTCTTATTGGGCCCCTAACTTCAAAAACATCATTCATTTTAGTCCTTTTCTAACAAAACAACATTCACTTTAGTCTTTATGTTAGTGAAAAGCATTGTGGAAAAGAACTAAAGTGAATGATATTTTGCAACTGAAACTAAAATGACTGGAAAATGCTTTTATGCCGGTGCCCCCACCATGAGTTCACTTACTAGTTTTAAATTAAGCCCATCAGCCTTGACAGCCAAAATTCATGCAACATGGACTCCCATCATTTCAATGCCTTCCTCAAAATGTCTCTTGGCAGTCTAGCCTAAGCATTTTCCAGGTCAATGTAAACCTTGCTGGAAATATATTATTATTCTCTGGTGACTCCTAGTAATAAAACCAATTTGGTGTTCTGAAGTATGAACCTTGTATTGATCTTTGATCAATTACTCTCTCCATAGTTTAATAATTTGGTTCTGTTTTACTCTTTTGTAGTTGCTACTTCTGTATGTCATCCTTGTTCTTAAAAAGAGAAGTCGAAGTGTTTCTCATTCATTCATCTTGCATTTTTTAAACTTATTATCCAGATTTATCATAATCACACCTTTGTCCACGTCCTAAAATTTCAATAGAGTTTTATGTTAGATGTTGACTGCCTAACACAACCTCCACTTTTATCCAGCCTTGGGATCAGCTGTGCAAAGATTTGCAACAGTGCACAACATGGGCAGAGTTTCAGAAGTGATAGCTGATTACCAATTACATGTTACTGTTTCTGGTTTTAGGCTTATAGGACTAGCTATATCATTGAACATTGACCGATATTTTTTCTTAGAAAACTGTTTCCACATAATGAAAAATACTTCTATTTTGGAATAAGAACAACTGAGCAGTGGTTGTACAAGTTATTCATACCTTATAGAAACTCTCAATTCTATGTTAGTCTTTTGGCAATCAGTTGTACATGTTGTTCATATCATATTCAAGGAATTTGACAGCTAACTCGTGTTTGTTTATCTGACATTTGTTGTTGTTCAATGTAATGTACTTGATTTTCCTTTTCTATTTAAATTGTTTATTGTGTTTGAGTTTCAATGGTTACTAATTGGAAGGTATTTGGACTCTACTAACATTACAGGTGCCAAACTTTCTGGGTAAAACTAGTCATCATAAGGTATAATTACCTTGCTCTATTATTGCCTTATATTGTTCTCTGCTGTTTTCTTCCATGATTTTTTCAGCTCAGATTATTGTTTTTATGATTCCCTCCTACTAGTTATCTCCTGGACTCTCCTTGTTATATATTTTTATTGACTGAAGTTCCAATGTTTATTCAAGCTAGGTAACTAATTGTTTTGGGAGAATTACAATTTAGTAATTCCTTGCAAGAATTTTTCCAATTATGGAACTGGACAAGTGGTTAACAAAGCCAAAATATGGTAAAAACATTAACCACTTATCTAGTCTATTGTTCTTTAATTGGAAATGTATTCCAACACTTCATAAAATGCAATTCTCACATTTTTGTGTGTGTGGATTTTAACTGGATTTTTCTGGTACAATTGATTGCAATTAATGGGAAATCAAGTTTATTCAAGGTAATTAGGTTACAAATGGCCATAATTTGTCTATAGACTGTTGCTCAATTTCCTAGCCTGGTAATTGTAATCTGATACTGTTTGCTATGACTTACAAATATGCATGTTTAACGTTGTGATCAATTTGTATCTAAAGAAAATTTGATATGCAATGATTTTTGTCAGGTCGTGTGTTATTCTGTTTTAGAATGTCTTTGGAAAGCCATCTGGATATTATTGACCCATGAAAACTTATGATTGCAGTTTAAAGCAGCAAAGCACCAAATTTTATTGTTTCCATTTTGAAGTTGTCTTTCTCCAGGCCTTGTTAACAATTTGATATAAGTAACTAATGATTTTAAGTATGAATAATGTTTATACTTATTGATACTCTTAATTCTAAGAATAAGGATCTTTCTAGAGGTTCCAAGGTATTGATTGATCTTGAATAGATGTACAATTGGTAGATATTTGACCATTAATAATATTAGATAGTTAAAGAAAACACCTTTAAGGTATACTACTGCCAACTTTGGGATAACAAACCACTAGAAGTAGCACTGGTACCTTTATAAACAGAAGCAAAGCAACAAAACTCAAAGTGATATTTCTCCTCTATCTTGATTTTTCAGCCCTTGTACTAGTGACAATAACTTATTGTTACACACGCGAGTGCAACTTGTCTTGTGGCAGCAATAATGCAGTATAAGTTTTAGAAGTTGGTTTTTTACCTTAATATGCACTTGTAATAATTCTCATCATGAAGTGTGGCAATTAATTTATATGAATAAATGCCCACACTTAAGTGTGTGCTTAGTTGACATGAAAATAGGCAGTGGAAAATGGGGCTTTGAAATGTTTGAAACAAGAATCAATTGCATGATGAGATGTTTGATTTTGATTAATTTTATGAAAAAAGAAATTGCTTTAATTTTCAAAGGCTTTTAAAAAGGCGGTGGAAAATTATCTACGTGCACATGATTTGCTGATTGAATTGGGTTGGAGCTAGAAGTGGCTGTGAACATAGTTCCTGAGAAGATTCTTGCAGTTTAATACTGTTAAGAGAGAAGAAAATGAAAGAGCATTGAGTGAATCCGTGTGTTTCAACTACACACCGAAGCATATATTTATACTAGGAGCATTGATACAAGAATTAATTACGGAGATATTATGGATGCCTAATTACCATAATTACAAGAATATCATTTCCTTAAATACAACATATCTTCTCCCTAATTACATTACTATAATTACATATTTTCATATTTGCATATTTCTAACACTCCCCTCAAGCTTGAGCATATAGATCATATGCACCAAGCTTGTCATATATGTAACTAATTCGAGGACCTCTCAAAGACTTACTAAAAGCATCTGCCAGTTGATCATTTGAATTGACAAAGCTTGTGGTGATGTCCCCCGATAAGATCTTCTCACCAATGAAGTGGCAATTGATCTCAATGTGCTTTGTCCTTTTAAGAAATACAGGGTTTGAGGCAATATGCAAGGCTGCTTGGTTATCACAAATAAGTGTCATTTGTGTAATCTCCCTAAATCTCAGTTTTCTGAGAAGTTGTTTCAGCTAGATAGTTCACATGCGGCTAAAGCCATGGCTCGATATTCTGCTTCTGCACTTGAGCAGGCAACTACACTTTGCTTCTTACTTTTCTAAGAAATTAAATTTTCTCCAATAAAAATGCAATAGCCAGAAGTAGATCTTCTATCAGTAGGAGAACCTGCTCGATTGGGATCTGAGTAACCTACAATTTAAGCATGACCCTTGTCCTCATACACGAGTCCTTTCCCTGGGGCTTCTTTGATATATTTTAAGATGCAAATCAATGCGTCCTAGTGTCCTTCGCAGAGAAAATTGAGAAATTGACTTACCATACTGACTGCATAAGAGATGTCTGGACGAGTGATAGTAAGATACTTTAGCTTCTTAACCAATCTCCTATACTTCTCTGAGTTAGAAAGAGGCTCCCCCTGACTTAGTAGAAGTTTGGAATTAGGATCTATAGGAGTATCCACAGGTTTAGTGATGTCATGCAAAGTGGCTAACAGCCATATCTATGTTTTTATCTTTCTAGTAGTTTTTTTAATTTTTATTAGTTTGTTAGGATCTTTATCTTTCCTTTAATTAAGAAGATTTATATTTATCAATTTGTTAGGCTTCTAATAGTTTTGTTGATCTTATATATTGGCATCAAAGGCCTATGAAAGGGGAGATTAATTAGTGAAGTCTTGAATATTTCTCAATATCCTTGTGTCAATCCCCCGGTATTCCTAGAATCAACGAGTTCTAGAATCAACGAGTTATTGATAGTCTCCCTATTTCATTACGTACGCTGCATCATTTAGCACTCATCAAACCTGTTTCCTCTAAGATATCCATTGTGTACTTCCTTTGGGAAATAACAATACCATTCTTGCATTGTGCCACCTATATTCCCAAGAAGTACTGAAGTCTCCAAGGTCTTTTGTCTAAAAATAGTGACTTAGGTGTTGCTTTACTGTGTAATGCCATGATAATCACTGCTAGTAATAACAATGTCATCAATATAAACAATCAAGTAAATGCATCCTGTGTCTGAATGGCGGTAGAAAATTGAATGATCTGCCTCACTTCTAGTCATCCCAAACTGTTGGACTAAAGTGCTGAATCTGCCAAACCATGTTTTGGGAGACTGTTTATCCATATAGGGATTTTCGAACACGATAGACTAATCTGAAAGACGACTTCTGAGCAACAAAATCAAGAGGTTGCTCCATATAGACTTCCTCAGTGAGATCACCATGGAGAAAAACATCTTGATGTCAAGCTGATAAAGAGGTCAATGGCGGATGACAGCCATGGACAAGAATAAGTGAACAAACGTCATTTTGGCCACTGGAGAGAAAGTGTCACCATAATTCAAGCCAAAGATTTGAGTATAACCTTTGGTGACCAAGTGAGCTTTAAGGTGATCAACTCGTCCATTGAGGCCAACTTTAACTGTGTAAACCCATTGGAAGGGGAGCTAGGTCCCAAGTTCCACTGCTCTGAAGTGCATTCATCTCATCAAGCATAGCTTGAGTCCAACTAGGATGTGAAAGAGCTTCATCTGGATGTTTAGGAATAGAAACAGAAGACAAAGACAAAAGGCACATATAATGGAAAGAAGACAAACGATGATATGATAAAGCAACATAATGAGGAAAAGAATTGCAAGTGGAACGTATACTTTTGCGAAGAGCAATAGGAAGATCAGCCTTAGAAGGCAAGGCCGAAAGAGGTGAATGAGTTAGAGGCGGTAGTGAGTCAAATGGAGTCCCTTCATTGGCTGGTGTTAGCATAGGAGGTGGGTGGGGCCGACAGAGATAAACCTGTAAAGGACGCAGAGGAGGAGCATCTGGAGGAGAGTCATCTGGCGGAGGTGGAGGTGGTGTCTCTGGGGGTTGAAAAACAACAGGAACAGGTGGGAGAGATGTGACAGATTGAGAAGGTGCTGAAGAAGACTCAGACCCAAAGAAAGAAACAGACTCAAAGAAAGTAACATCAGCTGAGATAAAATAGCGTTTAAGGGTGGAAGAGTAACACATAATCTTTTTGAGATCGACTGTAGCCAAGGAACATACATTTGTGAGTACGAGGCGAAAGTTTGTCAACCCCTAGACTAAGATTATGAACAAAGCAAGTGGACCCGAAGACATGAGCAGGTAAAGGATGTAAAGATTGGCGAAGAAACAGGACAGAGTGTGGTATCTGGTTATTAAGAGTAGAAGAGGGCATACGATTGATAAGATAACAGGCTGTAAGGACAACATCGGCCCAAAATTGATGAGGAACATTACCATGAAAGAGAGTTCGAGTAGTCTCAATAAGATGTCTATTCTTCCTTTCAACAACCCTATTTTGTTGAGGGGTATGTGCACAAGAGGTTTGATGAAGAGTGCTATTAGAAGCCATAAATGATTGAAAAGGTTGAGACAAATATTCTTTTGCAGTATCACTACGTAAAATACGAATGAGAACACTAAATTGACTTTTAATATCATGGTAAAAGGACTTAAAAATAGAGAATAAGTTAAAACAATTTTTCATTAAAAACAACCAAGTGCAACGAGAATAATCATCAATGAAAATAGCAAAATACTTAAACCCTAAGGTAGATAGTACGACTAAGACCCCAAACATCTGAATGGACCAAACTAAAAGGAGACGCAGCTCGTGTATTGACACGATTATGAAAAGAACTACCAATATGTTTTCCAAATTGACATGTCTCATAGATAATGTGGAGAGACGCTGCACCATTTGCTGAAGCTTTGAAAGACTAGGAAGACCAATCTGAGCATATGAAGAAGGAGAGGAGAATCCACCACAGATCTAGCATGAACCAAGGGACGAAGTTGATATAGTCAATGTGACTCACATCCTGTGCCAATCATCGGCCCCGAAATCTAGTCCTGCAGAAATACAAAGTCTTTAGTGAAAGAAATCACATATTCAAGAGAACGAGTAAGACGACTTATGGAGAGAAGGTTAAAAGGAGACCTAGGAACATATAAGACATTGTTGACGAAAAGTGATGGAAGGGATGAACAATACCAAGGCCCTGAGATTGTGTTTGAGACCCGTTAGCCATAATAACAAAAGGTAAATAAGTAAAGGTAGAGAGAGAAGATAAAGTAGAGTGAGAGTTACCAACAAAGGAATTACCCGTGTGTGCAATAGAAATAGTGGAAGTAGAGGTCTAATGATCATCATACTACTTGAGGAAATTAGAAAGGATAGCAAGAGGCGCCTAAGAAGCAGACGACACAGTAGTGGTTTCTGGTGGAGGTAGTGTAGCAGCCTAGGCAGCATTCACGGTCCGAGTGGGATGGCCATGGAGAGCAAAGCACTGGTCAATGGTGTGACCAAGTTTGTGACAATGGTCACACTTGGGACGACCTCTGCTGGTTTGTGGGGGTGACTATGGTCACTATTCTGAGAGACCAAAGCGGAGGGGTCAATGGGGACAGGAGCCACATCCGGATCAGGAGGAGATTTGGGCAGTACACGGAGTAAGGTGGACCAAGCAGAATTCATAGTAGTAACAGTAGGATAGCCTAAAATCTGATCCCGAACCATAGAGTAATCAATAGATAGCCCATACAAGGCTAACAGCATAAATAAGGTCGTACGTTGGTCCAATTCCTTTGCAGGGGTATCGGCGGGAGGCAAGAGTTCATTAAAGTCATGAAGAACATTGACTTTGTCCAGATATTTAGACATTGTTCCATTAAGACGGCAAGGAGTAATGACACTTATGAGATCTTGGCAAACCCTATAAAGATGCCGAGTGTCATTGGTATAGAGTTCCTTAGCTTGCACCCAAACAGTCTCATGATGAGAGAGAAAACACCTACAACAGAAAAAAAAACAGAAACAACCTGACGGAGGCTCAGAACAAAAAATTGAAGGCAGATTCGGAATCAGCAGAGTGAGATGAGTTCGGGGGGTCTAATTGCTGACTGAAAATCTGATCCCGAACCATAGAGTAATCAATAAATAGCCCATACAAGGCTAACAGCATAAAGAAGGTCGTATGTTGGTCCAATTCCTTTGCAGGGGTATCGGCGAGAGGCAAGAGTTCATTAAAGTCATGAAGAACACCACTGACTTTGTCTAGATATTTAGACATTGTTCCATCAAAACGGCGAGGAGCAATGACACTTATGAGATCTTGCCAAACCCTATAAAGATGTCGATTGTCATTGGTATAGAGTTCCTTAGCTTGCACCCAAACAATCTCACAAGTCTTATGAGAATGAAAATTTTGGCATAGAGAAGGACGAATGGTGGACTTGATGATGCTGCAAAGCTGGGCATCGATCTTACTCCACTTCTCACGATTAGCAGTAGCCACAGAGTCTTCCTTCGTCGTAAGGTGGTTCGCGTAGTCTTGGCCCTTAAGCCAAAGTTTGATGCAGAGGCTCAAGAATCATAGTTGCGGCCGTCAAGCTTCTCTGTATAGAGTGAGCAATGATTTAATTAGTAAAAATGGATGCATCAGCTTTGGGAGTAGCAAAACTCACCTTGGGTTGTAATGATGAGAGCGAAAACACCTGCAACAGAAAAAAACCAGAAATAACCTGATGGAGGCTCAGAACAAAAAATCGAAGGCAGATTCGGAACCAGCAGAGTGAGATGAGTCCGGGAGTCTAATCACCTGCTGAAAAAGTCACTGGACGCATGACAATAGAGGTGGTTGGAGAGAGAAACAACAACTGAGGGCATGTTTCTACTATCAAAGCGGGGTTGGTGGCGTTGGAAAGCCATTCAGATTTGGGATTTGGTCCCCGAAACAGTACGCCGGCAATGAACAGTATCATCAAAAAATAAAACCAGTCGGGAAAGAGACCAGAAATCAGAAGAAAAACACGATTTCTCTGGAAAAAGATTTCACTGATAAGCAATGGGCCTACCAGAAATGCATGGATTAGGATTACTCTTTCACCAGGCTCTTCAATACTATGTTAAGAGAGAAGAAAACGAAAGAGCATTGAGTGGATCCGTGTGTTTCAACTACACACCGAAGCATATATTTATTATACTAGGAGCATTGATACAAGAATTAATTACAAAGATATTATGGTTACAATTATCATAATTATGGGAATATCATTTGACATTACCATAATTACATGTTTTCATATTTGCATGTTTCTAACAAATACAAACGGAAGAAAGCGGGCATTGTTCCTTGTTGGTTAATAAAGTGGAAAGGGCAGCCTACTGAAGATGCTACTTGGGAAGATGCTACTTGGAAAGATGCTGTCACAATTTCCACTCAATTTCCAGATGTTAGCTTTTAGGACAAGGCTTCAATTGATGGGGGTGGCAGTGTTAGGTCCCATGAACCTAAGTGGATAAGTCCAATCTAACTTAGTCATGGGCCTTGGATTTGTATTTTGGACAACATATAGTAGGAGAAATAAGAAGGGGCAGAATGGGAATTAGAGAGAGAGTTTAGTTATGGAGAACACATTGACATTTAATGTTTCATATAGTGTGGGGAAGAGAGAGAACGAGCCAGTTATGCTTTTTTCTGTTAGTTGTGAGCAAGGGTGTGAACCTTTGTAGGAGCTTTGCTCTGGATATTGCAGAATTGATTCTGCAGTATTTTCTTTGTTAATAATCCTTCCTTCTTCTAAATGCTTTGCAAACATTGTATGGTCAGTATGGCATTGAGTGAGTCATTTCGTTTAACAACCCAGGTTAATCTATCAAACCAAGCTTGGGGGTGATTGCTTAAGACCATAGAGTGATTTTTACAACTTACACACTTAGCAGTTCATTGGCCCAAAAATTCGAGTTTTTTAGCACATCAGGATTGTCCGAGCTTACTGATTTTATGGTCTAGCTTGGCGATCCCAGTTGATCTTGGTGGTTTGCGTTTCCAAGGGCGAGCTAGCATGGAAAGGTGGCCAGAGATTGTAAACTCGTATGATCTTACGTTTTGGCACACGATTTTGACTGCTATGCTGCCAAGTCTCATTCTTCTTCAAAGCCTTGATTTCCTCCTCAATAGCAGCTTTCCCAACTCAGGTACTTGGACTGCTTTATGAAAGTCATGAGGTATCTTGGTGCTGTCCAAGGTGGTGAATAAAAGTCCTTTATTCCTGCAACAACTTCTCAAAAGAGACATGATTTCCAGTTGGGTATTACGTGCATGATCTCCCCCTTTTCGTCAAGAAAATAGGTATGTTTAGGTCATTAATGAGTATCGTCAAGTTCTAAATTCTGGTCTGAATCTTGGTTTTGCCTTGGAAGTGTAAAGGTTTCTATCTCTTTTTGAGTTTTCTTCTTTCTTGAGTAGACTTGTAGCTTTTTATCAACATGAGCATTAGGTTCATTCTCGAGTACTGCAGCAGATATGTCACTAGATTTAGATTCAGATTCTGCTCCTAATTTCAGTGCTAAATCTATCACAAATTGAGTTTGAAGAACATGTTCAATTGCAGCAACAGTAGATTCTGAAATCTGTGGAGTGGGACAAAGAATCTCCCAAGGGTGGTATTCACTAGTATTCACTCTCTTCTCCCAACTGCTACCTTTGGGTAAAATGTTTGATTTTCAAAAAAGGTGACATCCATGGTATGATAGAATTTTCTGGTTGAAGGGTGGTAACATTTGTAGCCTTTTTTGTTTGGAGAGTATCCTAAGAAGATGTACTGTAATACTTTTGGGTCCAATTTTGCTTAAATTTGGCTTCTGGTCATGTATAAATGCTGTGCATCCAAATATTTTTGGTGGAAAGGTTGGTAAGGAGTTTAGTGTTTGGGGTATATGGACAGTAAGGTTTGATGGGGAGTTTGAAATTGAGGGTTTTGAAAGTCATTCTGTTTATCAAGTAGGCTAACGAGAGAACTACTTCACCCCAAAAATGACTTGGTACATTAGTTGACAGCATGAGTGATCTAGTAATTTCCATGAGGTGTCTATCCATCCTTGCTACGATCCCCTTCTGCTGTGGTGAATCCACACGTGAAGTTAACTGCCCAACCATCCTTGCTTGGGGAGGTAAGCACCAAGGTAGAAGTACTCCCTCCCATTGTTAATTCTAAGGACTTGAATGTGGGCTTGAAACAAAGTTGGGATCATTTTACGGAAAATTTCAAATATCTTCCCCACTTCCAACTTTTCTTTCATAAGGAACACCCATGTAACCCTTGTGTGATCATCTATGAATGTGACAAGCCACTTTGATTATATTGCTAACTCGAGAAGGCCCCCAGACATCACTGTGAATTAAGGCTTAAAACCAAAGTTAATTTTTATAATTAACTTGAAAAATTACTATTATATTTTAATTATTTGCATCCAGTTGTTAACTGTTGTTACTAAACAACCATTTAGTGTTTATTATTACTACATACTAATTGTGGTATATCAATACTGTCACGCAAGTTTAGGCATCTATATGCCATAACAAAACATTGCAATCCTACATTTTGAGCAATCTTATACTTTGACATCTCATGCTTAGGCGCTTTACATACCTGGTCTGTCTACATAATGGTTCCTTAGAAAGTTTCTATCCATCTTTTTAACTGGAGGCAATTAGCTTGTCTATGTCATCCTTGTATCTCATTTTTCTATTATAATATTCAGTGAAAAATGCTCACAATTGTCCTAGCGCGTGTTTACTTTATTTTTGAGAAATGATAGTTTATTTTTATCAACTTCATCAGAGAACTTTGGAAAAAAATAAACAATGATTGCCTGGAAATAATCTATTTCCTCCAAACACCCACTTGAGTGTATCTATACTTAAATCTATCTGTTTTAATTAATATTTAGTTTTTGTGGTTCATGGCTTGTAGGTAAAAGTCATCTTTTTCTCAAAATCGGGGGAGCGTGCTGCTCCATTTATACGACAAGCAGCTAAAGACTATTGGGCTTATGCTTCATTTGCATTCATTCTCTGGCGGGAAGAGGAATCTTCCTATTGGTGGGGAGCGTAAGTTGCAATTTCTGAAAAATCTGAACTGGGAAAAAACATTATTCTATCTTTTATCTTTTCCATATAGCAGATGATGGTCCTACAAATGTTTTTGTTACATTTACTAGTTTGTTGATTCATTTCTTGATTTGGCATTAAGTATTGAACTTGATTTGTTTTATCTGTTTTTTAATGTCAGATTTGGGGTGGAATCTGCACCTGCTATTGTATTTCTTAAAGACCCAGGTGTAAAACCTGTTGTTCACCATGGTCTGTTTCTTTGTCATACAACCTGAGAGTGAGAACCATTTGAATGCACTTGTAAGCTTCAATTAACTGACTACCTGTGCATTGTGGTGCAGGTTCAATTAACAATTCTTTATTTTTAAATATGATGGAAAGTAATAAACAGCAAGGTATATACAACAGCACTATTGTTTAGATTCCCCAGTGTGTTTAATACCTATAATTTTTTCGGAACACAATTGTCTTTATCTATTAAATTTTTAATGTGTGTTGGGAACAATGCAGCCTGGAAATTTTTAAATGATATATTGAGGGGAAAGGGTTGGGGAAATAGGTGGATAATTTGCTTATGGGAGTAGTGCACTAACTTCAATGGATCTTACGGCTGACATATCTGATCCTAAATTTAATGGAATTAACTTCTATATTTGTTGGAATAAACCAAATACTTTTTGGAGAATGAAAATAATACTGCATTCTGTTAGAACTGTATCAATATCAAAGGAGGAATGGATGTTGTTGAATGAGAACAGCCCTAACTGCTGCCAATGTAGCTGAGAATAAGAGTAAATGGATGTACTGAGTTGGCTCTTTGAGAGGCCAGACTCTCCTATCATCAACTGAGTACATTAGGCTGCTTTTAATGTGATAACTCATCCAGCTATCTTCAAAATCTGATAATTTTGGTGACCTAATCCACACTTCTAATTTCCCTCCTTGTCCTTCACTTGTAGCTAATACCTCTGCTGGTTCTCTACTTCTACCTAGAGCTCATGAGTCTCAGAAAGAATTGGTGATAGGGGTTGTGAGACTGCATTAGGATTAATGCTCTTCTTAAGAAACTGGGTGAATGTGGCTATGATCCAGTAGCTGGTCTCAACCATATGGTAGGATCCATAGAAGTGTGTGTTGAGTTTTTCATTAGGGTGCTTAGCTAAATATTTCAGCCTATAATGCTAAAGATTAAGATAAGCCCAATCTCCTATAGTTAATTCCATGTGTCTTCTCTTATCCACAATTCTCTTCGTGAGTTCCTGTGCACGCAGCAGGTTGCTTATGAGTTCCTTAAGCTCCTAATATCTCTTGTTAGTTAACCTGTTAACCTATTCCAATTTGGATAGAATGGTGGTCCCCTTAAGCAAAATAGGAGGGTCCTGTCCGTATAGAGCCTTGAAGGGGGAGTAGTTTGGTTGTAGCATTATGATTAGTGTTGAACTGAAACTCAGCCTAATTCAGCCAATTGGGTCAGTGCTTGAGGTTTGTCCTTGAGAACTTGACAAATTTTGTGCCACCTTTATTCCCAAGAAGTATCGAAGTCGTTCAAGGTCTTTTGTCTGAAAATGGTAACATAGGTGTTGCTTTATCTGTATAATGCTATGATGATCACTACCAGTGATAACAATGTCGTCGACATAAACAATTAAGTAAATGCATCCTGTGGGTGAATGGCGATAGAAAACTGAATGATCTACTTCACTTCGAGTCATCCCAAACTATTGGACTACAGTGCTGAATCTGCCAAACTATGCCCTAGGAAACTGTTTTAAGGCCATATAGGGATTTTCGAAGACGACAGACTAATCCGGAAGACTCCCCTTAAGCAACAAAACCAGGAAGTTGCTTTATATAGACTTCCTCAGTGAGATCACCATGAAGAAAAACATTCTTGATGTCAAGCTGATAAAGATGCCAATGGCGGATTGCAGCCATGGACAAGCACAAGTGAACAGACGCCATTTTGGCCACTGGAGAGAAAGTGTCACCATAATCGAAGTCAAAGATTTGGGTATAACCTTTGGCGACCAAGCGAGCTTTAAGGTGATCAACTCGCCCATCTGGTCCAACCTTAACAGTGTAAACCCATCAGCATCCGACAACTGATTTGCCCACTGGTAGGGGAGCTAGGTCCCAAGTTCCACTGTTCTGAAGTGCACTCATCTCGTTTAATATAGCTTGACGCCAACCAGGATGTGAAAGAGCTTCATCCTGATGCTTAGGAATAGAAATTGAAGACAAAGACGAAAGACACATATAATGAAAGGAAGATAAACGATGATAAAGCAACATAATGAAGAGGATTGCGAGTGAAACGTATACCTTTGTGAAGAGCAATAGGAAGATCAGTCTCAGAAGGTAAGGTCGGAAGAGGTGAATGAGTTGGAACCGGTGGTGAGTCAGATGGAGTCCCTTCATTGGCCGGTGATAGCACAAGAGGTGGGTGGGGCCAGCGGAGATAAATCTGTAAAGGACGCAGTGGAGGAGTATCTGGAGGAGTCATTTGGTGGAGGTGGTGTCTCTGGGGGTTGAAAAACAACAGGAACAAATGGGAGAGATGTGACAGACTGAGAAGGTACTGGAAAAGACTCAGACCCAGAGAAAGGAACAGACTCAAAGAAAGTAACATCAGCTGAGATAAAATAGCGTTTAAGGGTGGAAGACTAACACTTAATAATCTTTTTGAGATCAACTGTAACCAAGGAAGATACATTTGTGAGCACAAGGCGAAAGTTTGTCAACCCCTAGACTAAGATTATGAACAAAGCAAGTGGACCCGAAAACACTAGCAGGTAAAGGATGTAAAGACTGGCAAGGAAACATGACAGAGTGTGGTATCTGGTTATTAAGAGTAGAAGAGAGCATACGATTGATAAGATAACAAGCTGTAAGGACAACATCAGCCCAAAATTGATGAGGAACATTACCATGAAGGAGAGTCCGAGTAGTCTCAATAAGATGTCTATTCTTCCTTTCAACAACTCCATTTTGTTGAGGGGTATGTGCACAAAGAGGTTTGATGAAAAGTGCTATTGGAAGCCATAAATGATTGAAAAGATTGAAACAAATATTCTTTTGCATTATCACTACGTAAAATACGAATGGGAACACCAAATTGACTTTTAATTTCATGATAAAAGGACTTAAAAATAGAGAATAAGTCAGAACGATTTTTGATTAAAAACAAACAAGTACAACGAGAATAATCGTCAATAAAAGTAACAAAATACTTAAACCCTAAGGTAGATATAGTACGACTAGGACCCCAAACATCTGAATGGACCAAACTAAAAGGAGACGCAGCTCGTTGATTGACACGAAAAGAATTATGAATATGTTTTTCTAATTGACATGACTCATAGATAATGTGGAGAGGCGCATAACCATTTGCTGGAGCTTCTGAAGACAAGGGTGACCCAACTGAGCATGAAGAAGGAGAGGAGAATCCACCATCGATCCAGCATGAGCCAAGGGACAAAGTTGATATAGTCCATGTGACTCACATCCGGTGCCAATCATCTGCCCCGAAATCCGGTCATATAAAAATACAGAGTCTTTAGTAAAAGAAACCATACAGTCAAGAGAACAAGACAACTTATAGAGAGAAGATTAAAAGGAGACCTAGGAACATATAAGACATTATTGATGGAAAGTGATGGAAGGAGATAAACAAGACCAAGGCCCTGAGACTGTGTTTGAGACCTATCAGCCATAGTAACACATGGTAAATAAGCAGAGGTAGATAGAGAAGAAAAAACAAACTTATTACTAGTAATGTGGTTAGTGGCGCCAGAGTCAAGGACCCATGGACCAAGAGAGGTAGAGTGAGAGATACCAACAAAAGAATTACCCGTGTGTGCAACAGAAGCAATGGAAGTAGAGGTTTGGCGATCCTCATACCACTTGAGGAAATTAGAAAGGATAGCAGGAGGTGCCTGAGAAGCAGATGGCAAAGTGGTAGTTTCAGGTAAAGGTAGTGGAGCAGCCTGGACAACATTCACGGTCCGAAGGGGACGACCATGGAGAGCAAAGTACCAATCTATGGTGTGACCAAGTTTGTGACAATGGTCACACTTGGGACGACCTTTACTAGGTTTGCGGGGACGACTACAGTCACTATTCTGAGAGACCGGAGCAGCGGGAACAACGGGGACAGAAGCCACATCCACGTCAGAAGGAGACTTGGGCGGTACGCGAAGTAAGGTGTGACCAAGCATAATTCATAGAAGGAATAGTAGAAGAGCCCAAAATCTGATCCCGAATCATAGAGTAGTCAATAGGTAGCCCATACAAGGTTAGCAGCATAAAGAAGGTCTTTCGTTGGTCCAATTCCTTTGCAGGGGTATCGGCGGGAGGCAAGAGTTCATTAAAGTCATGAAGAACACCATTGACCTTGCTCAAATATTCAAACATTGTTCCATCAAGATGGCGAGGAGCAATGCACTCGTGAGATCTTGACAAACCCCATAAAAACCTTGAATGTCATTGGTATAGAGTTCCTTAGCCTGTACCCAAACAGTCTCACAAGTCTCATGAGAACGAAAAATTTGCCGTAGAGAAGGATGAATGGTGGACTTGATGATGTTGCAAAGCTGGCCATCAATCTTACTGCACTTTTCAGTCAGCAGTATCCACAGAGTCTTCCTTGGTCATAAGGTGGTCCACGTAGGCTTGGCCCTTAAGCCAAAATTTGATGTTGGAGGCCCAAGAATCATAGTTGCGGCCGTCAAGCTTCTCCATATAAAGTGAGGTAGTGATATAATTAGTAAAATAGATGCGTCAGCTTTGGGAGTAGCAGAACTCGCCATAGGTTGCAACGAGGAGAGAGAAAACCTACAAACAGAAACAACCTGGCAGAGGCTCAGAACGAAAAAACCGAGGGCAGATTTGGAACCAGTAGAGCAAGATGAGTCTAGGTATAATCACTGTCTAGAAAAGTCGCTGGAACAGTACCCGATAGTGAACATGTCGTCGGAGCTGAAACCAGAAATTAGAAGGAAAACACGATTTTTGGAAAAAAAATTTAACCGATGAGCAGTGGGCCCACCGGAAATGCACGAATTAAGATTACTCTTTTGCCAGGCTCTTTGATACCATGCTAAGAGAAAATAAAACGATAGAGCATTGAGTGAATCCATATGTCTCAACTACACACCGGAGCATATATTTATACTAGGAGTATTAATACAAGAATTAATTGCAGAGATATTATAGTTACCTGATTACTATAATTACAGGAATATTATTTCCTTAAATGCAGCATATCATCTCCCTAATTACAGCATTACTATATTTTCATATTTGCATATTTCTAACACCCGTCAACCTCCTGCTCTTCTTGATTTAGAAAGCTAAAGAGAGAATCATTTCTTCCTCCAAGAGTAGGCTCACCTTTCAATTCAACGCTTTTCCACACCATTCAAATTTCATGATTTGTTGCCTCCAATTTGTAGTGACCTCTCCTATTGTGGCCAACCATTCCACACCCAAAATTAAGTCAACCTCTGTCATATCAAACACATAAGAATCAATGCATATTTGTAAGTCTTCCAATCAACTATTACTCCACTACACCTCCCTTGCACTTGTTTTCGGTTCCCATCTCCTAGTCTAATTCCTACCTTGGTGTTGCCATATTCTAACTCCAAGGACTCAACAATCTTCATCGAGATGAAATTATGAGAAGCTCCGCTGTCAACCAAAATTACTAATGGAACCCCTTTGATTTTTCCTTTTATTTTCATAGTTTTGGGTTGAAATCCAACTCCTGGACCCCCTGCATAACAACTAAGAGTAGAACACTCCAGCCCTCTAGGAGGATGTTCCTCCATCTCCAAAGCTAATACCTCTTTCTCCCCCTCTTCAGATTGTTAATCATCCACAATGATTAACTTGAGCTGTCGCTCAGGGCATTGATGCAAAGGGTGAAAGTTTTGGCCACATTTGAAACACAATCCCTTTTGCTTCCTCTCCAGTAGTTCACCATATGATAAGTGACGCATTCCTTGATCCTTTCCATACTGAACTCGCCTTTCTCCATCCCCAACTTTGCCCAAACTTGATCCACCAAACTTCCCTTCTTCCTTTTGAAACTCCTTGTTTTGTGTTCCACTTGAATTTCCACCAAGTCGTGCCATAGTCAAAGGCTCTGTTCCAAAACGCGAAAACAGAGGATGAGAGTAACCCTCATTTCCTGTATTTGAGCTCCTCCTATATGTTGTTTTATACTGCACATCCCCTAACAAGTCAGCCTCAATTGCTCTCGCTACCTCCATCATCCTTACCTTGTTATCAGGTTTATGAATATGAATCTTTCATCTAATCTCTGCCTGAAGACCATGCATAAAGTACGCCATGAATTGCTGTTCTGGCTTCCTGTTCGATATATGAATTTACAGTCCCATCCCGTTGAATTTCTATCAAACTCTCCAAAGGGTTCTCCATTAGAGCTCCTCCATACCTCCAAATTAGTGCTACTTTCAGGTTATCCCATGATGGTTCTTCATTTTTTATCCATAGATTGAATCAATGAACCGTAGGCCCTTCCATGGAGATTTTGGCTAGTTGCCACCTTTATCTCTGGCTGAGTGTCTTGAATTTCGAAATATGTCTTGGCTCGAGAAACCCACGCCCCTGGGTCAGCGCTATCAAACCACGGAAGCTCGACCTTCTTTACTGCAGATCAAAACTCTGCCGTTGCAGAATTTTCAGGGTGTTTGTTGACTTGATGAAGCTTCACCAATTTGATGCTGAGAGTGAGAAGATTCTAACAATGTATTCTGATCATGGGACGGACCTCGTGACAAGCGCGATTCCATCTATTTCATCTCTTCCATCAACTTGAAAACTGCATTCTGCAAGTCTGACTGTGACCTCTCTTGAATATCAGCTAGCTTTTAACTAAGTTCTCTAGTGAGTTCAAACGACCTTCCATGGCTGGTACTCCCTTTTTATGTTTAGGCATACAGCTCCTTTGCCACTCTCCGACTAGGTATCCGGCAGGTCGGACCAATTTGTTAGAGACCGAATCAAAGACGTAAAAGATATTATTAACACACAAAAATACTGCAGAAAAGATTCCTGCAATACCCAGAGAACAGCTCCTACAAGGTTTGCACACGCTTGGCCACTACTAACAGCAGAAAAGTATAACTGACCCTTTCTCTCTCTTCTCTCCCCTTATAAGAAACATTACACGTCAACCTGCTCTTCGTAACTAATTTTTCTCTTTAATTCCCATTCTTCCCCTTCTTATTTCTCCTACTATAAGTTTTCCAAATCCAAGGCCCATGACTCAGCTGGGCTGAACTTGTCCCCTTAGGTTCATGGGACCTAACAGTACCTGTATTGCTTGATATTTTGAATCTCAGCTCCTTTTAGTTGAATTGCATGGTCACGGCTCCTCGGTTGGGGTAGACCCTCTGGTTGCTTAAACACATCTTCAAATTCCATTAGTATTTGCTGTATTTCTATTGGAATCTCTAACCTCTCCCCGTCTTTCTCAGTCAGCATCTTATATTCAATCAAATACCCCTCCCCTTCATCTTGCAATGCCTTTTTTATTGATCTAAGAGAGGCTTTCCCTTTGGATAGTATTTCCTTGTATCTTCTTTATTTATTCTCCTGTTCTAATATCCAGACCAGTTCTTTGAAATCAACACATATCCTACCCAAGTTTTGCTACCATTCCAACCCAAAAGGTGAGCTTAACAGTGGCTGAAAAATTTGAAAAATCAGAATAACATCGGTGAACAGTTAGGCTGCAGACGCACAGTATTGCCAGAACAGTACATTGATGAACAGTGATGCAGCGGAGGGAAGGCTGGAAATTGGAATTGAAGCACAATTTCCAGGAAAAAAAATTTCACCAATGGGCAGTTGGCCTACCGGCTATGCATGGATTTAAGATTCTCCTTTTGCTAGGCCCTAGAAGTGTTAAGAGAGAAGAAATCAAAGAGAATTAAAGGAATCTGTTTGTTTCAACTACACAATGGGCTAAATATTATTGATAATAATAATAATAATAATAATATCAATGATTACAAAATAATTACAGAATAGACAGTTACCTAGTTACCATAATGACGAAGATACTAATCTCCTTACTTAACATATTTATACATATTTAACAACAATGATTTTACTCGACCACAATTTTACCCACGATTTAAAAAAGTAAAGGCTTCCAAAATCATAAAGTCGATTTTACGATTTGAATTGGGATTTTTACTACAATGTTTACCATCATCATTTGAGTTTGTAGATGGTAGTTAATGGTGTATATAATTACTTTTTCTGTCTGATACTAATGTTATGCTATTCAAGGAATTTTTAGTATATGACATTATTATCTGAAGTTTATAAACTTACAAATTTTCTAATCCCTAATTTATCTGCTGCATTTTCCTCTGTCTACCATTTTTACTTCCAGAGCTTCCTCAGCTAAGAAGTGTGACATCAATGGAGCTAGGCTGTGATCCCCGTGGCTATTCTCGTGCTGGATACGATACGGTTATATGGTATTGTGCCATTGCAGTAGGAAGGCCAAGCTTGGAGTTAAACAAAATGCGTGAAGTATGCACTTTTGTCTTGTCTTGGAAATAATTTCTATGATATGTTGCACACATCATCATTTACATCCAGAATTATGCTCATTTGAGTTCCTGATAAAAGTCAAATTGTTGTTCCATTTTTGGTATATTTGAGCTTTGATGCATAATCCTAGTAAAGTAAAACTGGGGCTCCAGACTAGTTCTAGATAGATGCATAATCTTAATAAATTGGGTATAATATTTATTACACTTTTTTCATTTTTATTTTTCACAGATTATAATTTTGAGAGGTGAATCTTTGTCTTTTAAACAAGTATGTGTTAGTCAAATTTGGCAGATTTGTAATTCAGGTCCATAGACTATGTGCAGGGTTCAAGAAACATTGTCTAAGCATAGCCACGTGGATGTGTCATCTGAAAATCAATCATTAGCCCCAGCTATTGACGCATTTAAGAGAAGGCGGTTGACATTTGCTTGGCTTGATGGTGAAAAGCAAAAGGTAATCTTTTGCTTTCATTTGCTTGATTTGCACTCTTTTTTGTCATTCTAAATAAAGTAATCCTTTTCTTTTCATAATAAATTTCACAGTACCGGTAATTGGCATTAGTGAACAAATTAACAAATATGAATTCAGAAATTTTTTTTAAGAATGGTTATTTCATTTGACAATGACCCATGAGCATCATAGCAATATTATTCTAAATTGCTGCCCTGACACTGTTTAATCTGCCAAATGACGGTTGTAAATAACACGTCAATTTGAAAATGTCCCATGACCTAATTTGACCACTAAATCAATAGAATGCTTATTCATGAAGATTTTATCACAATATAGCATCCAGTGTTGCATGTTCATCTCATCTTTGACAGGTGGAACTTATCTATTTTGTAATGATGTACTTATTAATCATAAAATATATTATTTTTGTTCTGTTAACCAAGATGGTTTTTGTTCACTAGTCTGCAGAGGCTTTTCATACTGGTATTACCATTCCCAGTTGTACACGAAATTCTTAACATTAATCCATGTATATTGTATCCTAGAATATTTTGGATATCTTAGAGACTTTTTTTGTACTAGTTTCTCTATTTTCTTAGTTTCTATTTTTCCTAACATCTCATGATTTGTTTCCTTATTTTGTTAGAATTATTAGTTTAAATAGGAATGTTAATACACACTCTTTTGAACACACCTTTTAATACACCTTTTGTCATTGGTCAATTTTTAAAAAGTCAAAATAATTTTAAAAGATGACCAATTAATGAAGCAAATACTTTGACTTTTTTTAAAAAGCTGACCAATCACAAGAAGTATGTTAGTGTGTGTTCAAAAAAGTATGTTGCTAGCATTTCTCTTAGTATAACAAGGGGTTAATGTTTTAAATTTTATCATCAAATTGTAACAAATCATGTCAAATCAAGTCCTTTTACATCTACAGCCCTATAATTGAACATGGTATCAGAGTGGTACTATCCTAGGTGACCTGTTCTATCACTATTTCGTTGGAGTTCCCTAAAATGTCTTTTGGTTTGACCCAACATTTTTTTTAAGACACTCGAGATTGATTCACTCACATTTGATCTTCGAGTATTCACAGAGACACGTCTGTCTTTTTCAGAAGTTGTCAATCAACATATCCTTCCAAGTGTTGATGCAGGAGGCAGATCTCCTGCACTTATGCTTGACTTTTTTGCTATTGTTCCTTGTGCTCACTTGCCATCTTGGCAGTATTGCCTCTTCTTTTGCTGGACTAAATTAGTTCGTCAACTCCTTGTTTCACTTCACTCTTTTATTGAGTCATGTACATGCTCAGCCTTTATCGCATGCCTATTTGTTAACGCTGTCAGCCTTCATTGCTGCGTGAGTAGCCAACTTTCATTTTGGCATTATTTATTGATACTGTCAGTGTTCATAGTTGACATGTGAGTGTCCATCATTCTTTGCTGACCTTTCATTCTTTGTGCTGTCAGCCTTCAATGTGAGCTTATTTATTGACATTGTCACCCTTTATTACTGACGTGTGAGTGTTCAACCTTTGTTGCTGACCTTTCATTTTTTGTGCTGTCAGTATTCAATGTGAGATTATTTATTGACATTGTGACCCGTTATTACTGACATGTGAGTGTTCAACCTTCATTGCAAACACAATTGGGAGACTGCTTCCCCAAAGAAACTCCATCCAACTGCCTTCATTGCAGAAACCCTAGGCATCTTCATTATGTCTGTTAACACTGTCCACATTGGTCTGCACCACTGTTTAAACCTCCTAGTCCCTTGCCACTACCATCTCGTGATGGAGCTAATACAAACTCTCCTCTAGAGCCTACTCCACCTCATTTCAGCCCTGCCTCCTAAAATTGACCTTCCTTTTGTACTTGGAAAAAGTATACCCTCAACACACAATCCTTCTCGTTATGTTATGTTGGGCTGCCTTCAAGAATGGCATTGTTGGGGATAGAGATACAGTCTAAGAACAGTTTTGTGATTTCAGTTATGTAATGAATATTTAAGAGGGGACAAGTTTGATGAATGCTAAACCTATTGGCACTCCTTTGGATTCTAATGCCGAACTTTTGTTAAATCAGGGAGAGAGCCACTTGTAGACTTAGCAAGATACAGAAAATTGGATGAGAAACTAAATTATCTCATTGATACTCACCCAAAATTCTTCTTTGCAATTAACGTAGTTAGCCAATTCCTTATTTATTCACATTAAGGACATTAGTATAGTATACAGTAATTTTTATTTTGAAATATACTATAGGAGCTCATGGAAAAGGGCTTATATGTAAAGACAAAAGTCATACTCAAGTTGTGGGATATTCTTATGCTGATTAGGCAGGCTCTCTTATTAACATGAGGATCCACTTTCTGGTATTGCATAGTCATTGGTCATGCTTTTGCATTATTCATGGGATATTTTGAATGAAAATTACTTCTGCATTATCTTTGCATCTGGCCTGAGCTAACAGAACTGATATTTTAGGACTACTGTCAATTTTACCTTGGTCATGCTGCTAGTGATCACACTTGTGGGCAACGGAAGGGTGTAACTGATATTCCTCGGTTATTTGTTATTCGTTACCTGAGAAATAGTAGTGCTGTTGATTCGCCGGCACAAGAAAAGACAAAGTGGACATCACTACTTGTCCAAGATCTAATTGATGATTCTGATCAGACAGGCCAGTTTGTGGCTGGGTACAAGGATGCAGTTGATGTTTCACAGGTTTTCCATTTTACAATCAAAATTTTCACATAAAAAGTTCTTACATTTCTTGTGTAGCTTAAATGTATTATGTCATATTACTTGTGAAATATCTTGTGCGCTATAAGAACTAATAATGTACGATGAATTAGATCTAATGCACAGCTCTTTTAAGATATTTTCTATTTTCTTATGCAGATAACTCAGTGGCTTGCAAATATTATAGCAGATGGTGACTCAAGAGATTTACCATTCTTTGTAAGTTTTATTAACTTGTGAATAGGTTTGGTAAGCCTTAATTTTAGGCCCATATTGAATGTTGAATTTGCAAGTAGTAACCTGGGCATTCAAGTATTTGATTCTGTTTACTGGTGTTTTTCAAATGATACATTTTCTTTTTGTGATCATAATAATTTCACGACTGTCAAACTTAATGCTTTGAAAGGACAGAGTTATTGCTGGGATTAATCAATCCTGTATTGTTTTCTTATTTTGCAATATCATTTTCTCTCTGCAGACACTACGAACTCCTAGGCTTGTTCCGGATGAAACCGAACCTATTTGGTCCAAAAGTGTACAAAATATTCCCTTGAAAAATCTGAAGCAGAGTATTCTGGGCGGTGTTAGTGGACTCTCTGTTTACCTTGAGGATCCAAGAGTTGGTCCTTTTCTTCTTCTGGGTGCCTTAATTTCTTTGGGTACCACCTGGCTGCGAAGGAGCCAACAAGTTCAGCTGTCTAAATCAAATCAACCTAGTTCCAATCAGTCATCAGACTCAAACCAACCTAGTTCCAAGGTAATTTTTCCTTGATATGCTTATCTTTGAGAATTTGATTTTTGAGTTATATGGCATTATAGGATATACAAAGCCAAACTAACGTAATGGAGCAAGAATTTTGTTGTTTTATGCTTATCTTGTATATTTTCCAAATCAAGGAATTACTATATTTTCATTCTGCAGGCACCGTCCGAGGATGAAGGAAAACAGAGACCAAGAGACCGAGTCCGGAGTCGGTCAAATAAAAAACCGCCCCCGTCTATGACAGATTTCGAACCATCAGATGCTTACCAAATGCCGCTATCAGATTCTGAATGAGTAGTTTTAGGTTGGTTTCTCCCTGAAGGACAGGAGCATTCCAAGACATAAGTTACATGGTCTAAAAAGTGAAACTCCTGAATGTCTTGGTTTGGAGCCAATATAATACAATATTGAAACCATGTCAACCAGTGATTTGAAGGCACATAATCCTTATGGCAGATATCAAGAATGAAACGTTCATGAATTCTGTTCTAGGCATAAATTTGCTTAATATTTGGATTAGCATAGTTAATGTAATGCAACTCATTAAGAGATGATTTAACCAAAATTGAGGAAGCCAACAGAATTAGCATAAGATGAAGTAAAGTGAAGTCGTTAAAGTACGTTACATGTGAAAAAAATTATCATATTTTCATTTAGAACATCTGATTTAAGAGTTAGACAGACGCAATTGACCAGTTAAGCGTGGAACGTGTGTACATGGCTGATCAGGGATGCGGCATCTACTATGCTCTCTTTTATAGTAATAGCAATTTCTTTCATTACACTTCATAGCAAATTGACTGTCTGCTAATGTAATTTAATTTTTTTCTTAAGCTGAAGGTTAATAATAATGATTATAATTCCTTTTTTAAATGAAATTATGTGATACAAATCAATTCCAAGAATGAAAATGAATCATTCTGTATTGAAATATTAAGAAAAATTAGTAGCAAGAACTATTGTCCAAAGCCTATCGAGACCTATTGCTCTCCATCCATACATAATACAATAATTTCCATAAGTATCCTTACTCCAAACAACTATAAAGGCAGGTAAACTTCACCCACCAATTAACTTCTCTCTTTCTACCTGTCACCACCTTTAGCTATTATTCCTTTATTTATTGGAGTGTAAACCCTTCACACTGTGGGCCTATGGCACAGCTTTTGAGCCCATTCTTCCCTTTGAACCTGTAATTCATTTGATCCTATCATTATTGATGAATAAAGATTTGTCGTGAATCTTTATCAAAATATAAATAGAAATTAATGTAATACTAATGTGCTAACTTAGGTTGTCTTCTATGAATCATTGGATGAGTAATCGAATATCAAACATGTACTTTGCAATGTATTTAGAAAGCAAGTAAAAAAGAGAGTTTTGTGATTTTAAGTTCAATCTACTTAAGTAGAAAATTAAATTGCAAAATTCAATCAATAAAATGTAGTAACTTCTAGTTGATTCATGTTGACTCTATTCTTATTCTTCTCAAGATTTAATACTCTTCCTCTCTTTCCAAAATTAGATTAATTTAACAAGCGAAAATCAACTTTATGTTTCTATACGAATTAAGCAATTCAATGGACTCTAATCTTTCATCTCAAGATTATGCAACCTTAGAAATAAATCAAGAATTAAGCAATTCAAGTTTAGAATCTCATTTAACTATTTATTCAATCCAAGAGATTAGGAAGAAGAAATTCATGAAAGAAAAAGAATTATATTAACATTCAAAACTCAAGAATTCAAGTGAACTCACTAGGGATTACAAAAGGTTTACCCTCCATAAAGATGGGTCTCACCATTACAAAATGGAAGTAAAGAGAAATCAATAACATCAAGATGAAAAAAGTGAAGAAAATGGAAATCAAACCCTAGGTTGAACCATTGACTGTCACCCAAGGTTACCCTAGGCTCTCTCAAAAGTATCATAAAACTCTAAAAAGTCTAAAGGAAAAAAAGTTCTGCAGAAAGTTTTCTAACCCTAAATGATAAAAATCTATATATAGAAAAGTTGACGCCTTCATAGTAGTTACTATTGTAATTGATAGTAACCACAGTGTTGTCCTGACTGGAATAACTACTATCACATGTGAAATTTCCTAAGGGAGGGAAAGTTGTAACGTCCCGAATTTTTGTATTAATATAAGTATATATGTGGATTTTCATGTGTTTGTGTTTAATATATATATATATATATATATATATATATATATGGTGATGAAAATATGTATATGATGATGTGGACTTATATAAATGTGTGAATACGAGTATAAGCATATATGTTAGTTTGTGGTTGAACTAAAATTGTTGAATATGACTGGGCTGGATTGAAAATAAGCTAAGTGTGTATTGTAGGGTGTTCTCTCTATAGTAAGAAGGCCCTAGGTAAAAAGCATGAAACTGTGCGGTTCTCGCTGTAGAAAGAAGGCACTGGGAGAAAAGGGGAGAAACAGCGAGAGTTCCCTCCCTAGAGCGAGATGGCGACAGTGGAAGGTGCATTTTTGAGAGAAATCTCGCTATAGTGAGAGGGAGGGGTCACGTTGTAGCGAGAGTGTCGTGATCAAAAGGGTATTTAATGGTTGTGAGTTAGATCGAAGGTTGAAATCATGTTTGAAGCGTTTGGAGGTAAGTTTGTAAGTTAGGGTTTTCGGGTTTTCATCACTTTCTTTGATTTCTCATAGTGTTTTCCTCTATACTTAGGACGAAAGTTTGTGTGGGGTGCACTTTCATCATAGATTTTGTGTTAGGTTTTTAATCTGAGGTAAAGGGTACTCTACCCTATCTCATTGTGTTTGAATCTGTTATTTTGCTATGTGTTATAATGTGAATGCTGGAAATATGTGTCTTAATGGAATTAATTTGATTGTAGTGAGATTATGGTGAAAATGTTGCGTAGAATGTAGTGTGAATGTAGTGTGATGGGTGTTGGCTATTGTGTGTGATGAAAATTGGATGTTTGAGTGTAATTTGATTGATTGTGGCATACGTGTTATGTGTGAAAGTGTATATTGAAATATGATCGAATATGCGAGTGATTGAATGTGATTGCATGCCATTTGGTGATGATGGACAATGTGAAGTGACTGAATATGTGTGGAAAATGGCATGTTGATGTTGATTGTGAATGTGTCTGAATATGTGGAAAGCTATGAATGGTTCAGCAATACACTGAAGGTGTGGAAGATGGGGCGATAGAAATACCTTGGAGAAGAGAGGGTGGTGGTGACACTAATAGGGAGCGTGGGTGCACCACATGCCATACACTCTTCTCTTGACTCGACCTTTGACTAACACTTTTGTCAAGAGGCTCGTGACCGCACACATTGTATCTGTGAGGCGGGGGCTATCCAGCAACCATCTATGATGTGAAACTGAGTAAGTCCCTGAGGTTGAGGGCGACAGTGAGTGTGGCTATATGCACCTATTTGTGAATTGAAATGGAATATTCGAAATGCGTTACTTGTGTTTACTAATGTTTGAGTTGTGTTACGCTAGAAAATATGTGGAGTGGGCAAGGTGGGTCGCTATGCTTGTGTGTGTTGGATAGTATAGAGTACTCACTCTTACATTTATTTTTCAAGTGATCAAGACGATCAGTACTGAGCTCACTGAAGGGATGGATGACACTGTTAGAGGATTTAGAATATTTATTTTGTTTTGAAACTGAAATTTATTAATTAAGTCCTGTAGTGATTATTTGACTTAAATTGTAATCCATTCTTATATTTTGAAATATTTTGCTGAACTATGCCTTGGGAAATCGTTTGAATGAAAAACTTTTATTATTCCCATTTTTTTTTTGCAAAATTCATTTATTTTAGAAATTAAATTTAAGGTGTTACACAAGGGTGTTCTAGGGCGGGTGGGTGTGTGCAAAGAAGGTCTCAATCATCTAGATGAAAAATTGCACAATTCATATCCAATTAAGAAACAAGGCAAGTTTTAGAGGATAAATGCAAAAATACATGTAAAGTGCACACAGAAAAGAAATTTAAGGCCCAATTCTCTACCATAGTAAAAGGTGATAATTACTTGGCAACATGTGAGTACAGTTCACCTTACAAGAAAATATGTTCAGTATGGTAGGAATGATAATTATTTACAAAACAAAGAATGATTGTTAGTTGAATGAGAAGTGTAATCAGAATATAAAATTGGAATTACAAAACTAGACTAAATTAAAAGAGAAAGATAATGAAAATATTTTTGTATTTTTATTTATTACTATGCATGAAAATTAGACTAAAAATATATAAAATAGAGGCAAAGAGATCACTCCTTTTTCATGGATGATGGCTCACAATTTAGCGGTCAAATTCATGCTCCTCTTGATGGGACTGTGATGAATCCACATTTTACTAAATTTTTATACATAATTTATTACTTTTTATAGAAAAGAATAGACTTAGATAGTGTAAATAAGATGAACATTCCAATTAGGCTAAATAATATAGGTTTCTTAGTTTTTGGTTAATTTACATTGATTTAGATAGTTTATTTTACATGTTTTAATTATTTGAATAATGTGGCAGGAATCTCCAAGCCTATTTTGAAGAATTATTGAATTTTGAGGAATTTGAGGTGAAAGTAACTACTTTCAAGATTGATAGTAACCACTACAGTAAGCTACTTTCAGCAAAAGGACCAAAGTGATCACTTTCAAAGTTAAAAGTAATCACTCCAGAGAGTGCAAAATTTCAGGAGCTGCGCGTAAACACTTTCAAAGTTGAAAGTGATCACTCTAGAAAGACCAGAATTCACTGATGTTGCGCGTGTTTACTCTAAAGATTCATAGTGATCACTTTGGAGGGCGCCTACCTTAGTATAAATAGATTTTTACCAAATTAGGGTAGGGACTTCTTATATTTTTCATACCTTTTCTCTTCCTTACTAAATTAAGACAATTTTTCAGAGCTTAGGGCAACCTTGGGTGAAAGCCAAGGGTGCAACCTAGGGTTTGGTTTCTCATTTCCCTTGCTTTTACATTAATGCCAATGAGTTTTCTACATTTTCAACTTGCGTTTTTGACCCCCATTTCCATGGAGGGCTAAATTTTGTGTAATCCTTGGTGAGTTCACATGGATTCTTGAGTTCCTTGATTTTAATGATAATATAACTCCTTTCTTTACATGAATTACTTCTTCCTTGTTTCTTGAATTGAATTAATGGTGAATGAGGGAGATATTGCTTAATTAATCCTAATTCGTTTTAAGGAGATTTTAAACTAGGGTTTGCTTAGTCCTAGGTTTAATTCTAAGGTTGCGTAATCTTGGGATCAGGGATTAGAGCCTAACAAATTGCGTAATTTCGTTGGGACCATAAGGTTGATTTTCGCTTGTTAAATTAACCTAATTCATGGGAGAGAGGATGAGTGTTAAATCTTGAGTGGAATAAGGATTAGAATCTATGAGGGTCAACCAAGGATTGCTACTTTCTATTGTTTTAATTAATTAAATTTGTTTGCTTGTTGTTCTTTATATTGATTTGAAACCACAAAACCCCTCATTTTAATTGTTTGTTCGGTTAATGCCTTCAACATGTTTAATGAAGATTAATAGCCAATGTTCACGGGAGACAATTTAGGGTAACCCTAGTACTACATTAAGTTGTTTAAATTTTGATGAGGATTTGCGACAAATCTTTTAAACATAACGACAAATCAATTCGATCATCAGACTGAGAGCATAGTCTGCACAAAGATGCATAATGGATTCAGCACAAAAATGAAGTATGAAAACTGAACTGATAATTATATATAAAAGCATGAAAGTGTCAAGTAACTATTCAAAGATAAAGCAGTAAGGTAAGAGTAAAGTAAGAAAAGAAAAGCGATAAAGTACAATAATTACAAGGAAATAATGGACAAT